CACAGAGAAATTTGAGATGGAAAAGCCCTTTTAGGTCCCATCTTGTTCAGCCAGGAGCCAGGCTAGGATCATTCTCTACAGTTGTGGTCCATAGTGTCTATGCAGGATACTCAACCTGTATTACAGCAGGGACCCTGGAATTTTGGAGCACTACTCCTCCCCCTAAGATACAATAGAATCAGGACAATCTCATTTATTTTGATGTTAAATTCAGCTGATTTTATGCTGCCCCCAAACTGCAGTGTGACCCAACAATTTTTGGACTGATAATGCATAACTGCACCAAAGAAGCTGGCTGGGGTGAGTTTGAGATTTGACCCCTGGATGGAGGACAACTGGGGTTTTTTAACCCAGGAAGGAGTGAGAGGCAGGACTCAGGAAGAGGATGAGGCTCTTGGTACTGAATAGGGAATGAATCTTCTTTTCCCACCTTCCCATTTTTGGCAAGGGCAGAGGAGACTTTAAATCTGGGTTAATGGGGTTGGATTCCTCATTTTCCACCCAACTGACTGCCCCACAGTGCTGTGCCATATCTGCCACTACATCCAGCACTGATGGAAGCAAACATTAGCTGGATAATCACCAATTAAATAGCTAACAATGATATTTCATTCATTAGGTTTCAGGGTCAACACCTAATTGAGATGAATGAGCCAGTTCACCTCTCTCTGCAAACTCAGTCAGACATCACTGCATCCTTTACATTAGTTTCAAATTTTAGAAGTTATTTCAGCAGCCATAAGGGATGAAAATGAAAATTCAGATACTGTAGCACAATTATGCAGCCCACTCAGAAAGAAGGGCAATTAAGTGCCAATTTATGCAGCTGCATAATCTCATTCTATATGGAGCGCTGCCTATAGTCTACTCCCTAGGATTTTGTCCAATCTAGTTTAAAATGTCCTGGGTGATGGGGCTTCCAATCCTTCTCTTGAGAGACTATTCTAGCATTTAACAGAGCTCAACTGTTTTCCAGATGTTTAGTCTAACCATCTCTATTCCTAATTTCATCCCATTACTCCAAGTTATAGGTGTTGGGCCCCTGACATTCTTGGGGTTTATACCCGTCAGATATTTAGTCTTCTGCAATGTTTGGAATTTTCAAAGAATCAATACACTTCATCCCATATCTAGTTCATATCTTCCAGATGCCAGTTGACAGACACATGGCTTGTTGCCATAGCAGACCTATATCTAGTTCAGTGCTTCTCAACTTTTCCCACCCCACAACCCCATGTTACAACAAAACAAATATGGAAAGCCCACTCCCATCTAGTCATACAGAAAGGGAGGATAGTTACAACCCCCAGCTGGAGAACCCATGTCAGTTTCATTCTTGTATTCCTTCTACAGAAATCAGTCCTTCCAATGCCCAAAATGAGGAAGGTATATTGCGTTATTATGCATTGCCTCCTTTTTCTACAGTCTTATTTCTGACTGCTACTTATGCTGCTTTTTTGCTTAAAGGGGAGGCTGTCAAAGAAATTAAACCCAAAATGTGACCTTCTGTATCTTCCAATTGCTCCGCTTTGGTGGGCAATGTCTTGTGGCATCTGCAGATCCACCTCGCTTTTTAAATCCATCACTGTGTCAGGCAGCAATTAAACAAAAACAAGTCCAGTTGCTAATTGTTGTCTAACCAAGGAATCATCAGTGTCACCTGATGGTGAGATTTATTCCCAGTGATGTTGTGAAGATTAATTGGTTGGTGGACCCAATCCTGATGTTTTTCTAAAAGATAGGCACTAGTTCAAACAGGAATTAATTCAGGGAAGTTTTATGGGTGCGTTATACAGGAGATCAGGCTAGTTTATTACAGTGATTCTTTCTGGCCCTCTAATCTATAAACCCTTACTTACGTGAGTAGTCCCACTGAACTCTATGCATCTGATTCTCACGTTGGTGTAAATCAGAAGCAACTCCACTGAAGTCATGTGAATTAGAGGAGCATCTTTCCAAGTTTGTATGCTGCCCTCTTCTCTGTAGTATCTGAGCTATTAATGGCCCAGTGGAAGTGTTCACATGCATAAGGGTTGTAGGACTGGGACCACTGTAAAGTGCTCTGAGGATAGAAATCAGTAGAGACCAGATTCTGGAACTCCTACTCAAATTGAGCAGTAACTTGTCTCCCAGGTAACTCCATTGTTTTCAGTAGAAATATGTGTGGTGAGAAAGTGTGGCAGAATCTGGCCATATATAAACATTGTATAAATTATTATTCTAAAACTCATGAGTCAGGCCTCAAAACAATGAGATTAGCTTAAAGTCATGAGATTTAAAGAGAATACATTTAGGGGTGTCTTTTTCTTTGCCTTGTGGTTCCTGAGCCTTTAGGGTACACTAAGGTCACCTTTTTAGGCTTTTCTCCACAACCATGAGGGACAGAAACATCTTTGGTTGTTGTTTTTTAATGAAAGGAGCTCAGGCTTTTAGAAAAACACCAGCTATCCCTAGACTCGCAATCAAATCACAGGAGTTGGCAACACTTATTATTATTCATAGTTTCACTGAGTCCAAGGCCAGAAGTGACCATTGTGATCATCTCCGTCCTCCGGACAGGGACTGTCCATATGTTTGTGTGTTGCTCAGCACTGAGCACATCATTAGCATTTAAAAAGACACCGTCAATCCATCTGCAAATCTTGTTCCTACTGTTTGTACCAGGAAATGCTAAAATGATTAGAATTGAAAGTGATCGGAGAAAGACATTAATTTCTCTCTCAGTACCTTGTGTGTAGTCAGTTTCACTGTTTTGTTAACGGTTCATGCTCTTCCACCGTCCCTGAAATAGGGTGTTAACTAGTAACAGCAGCAGTATTGAAACCAAACAGACCAATTCCTTTGAGCTAGAGTTGAACCACTGCCCTAAGGGCTTCTAGGGGAATTAAGCCAACAGTCCTCCACTCTACCAGCTCAGCAGATAGGTATGTCCGCAGAGAGAATGGGCTGGGGGAGTGGATCTGGGCCTGTTTGGCAGTATCCTCTGACCTGCCTAAAAGACCTTCCTAAACATCAGCAACAGCAAATAATTAGTTTGTTTCTTAGGAATATTTTTTTGGGACACACCATTTAAAGGGGACTCTATCAGAAAAGATGACTGTTTGGAATTAGCCAATTCCAGAAAATTCAAGTTGACAGTGTACCTCTAACAAATGATAAGTAGCTGCAGTAACCGAAAGGGTTACAAACCAAACAGTGAAGCCAGAACAAAATCTCTCAGCACAGCAAAGAATTCATCCTTCTGAGTATAGTGTTTGTTAAGCTCTCCAGAGAAAGATCTTTCTGGGATGTCTGGAAAACTGCAGCAGTTACCACAGCTAGATTTTCGATTGTCTCAGGTGGGTTCTAGGCCAACACCCTGAGGGGGCTACTGTAGGCCAGTGCCTTGCTGGGGTGAAGGCTCCTTGTTGCACATAAGAACTTAGATCAACATCCCAGGATCCAGATTTTTTAAGGTCAGGCTTGACAAAGCCCTGGCTGGGATGATTTAACTGGGAATTGGTCCTGCTTCGAGCAGGGGGTTGGACTAGATGACCTTCTGGGGTCCCTTCCAACCCTTATATTCTATGATTCTATGATTCTATGATTCCTTTCCAGAGACAATTTTCAGAGTAAACTGTCTGGGCTTCACTGGGACCCGAGAGGTGATGGGGGAGGGATTCTTCCAGATCCCACTCCCTCCCACTCCACTTCCCTCCCCTCCCATCTCCCTCAAGCTCTTGAGGCCTGATTCTCCATTGCCCTGCACCTTGCATAGTCATTTACACCAGTGCAAAGTGCATATCAAACATTACCAAATCCGAACAGCAATGTGTTACACCCACTTTGCCAGATGTAATGAATATGCGAGGGCCAGGCCAATGGACAATCAGACCTCCAGCATCTAAACATTACCCACAACAGCTCAGAGGTGGATGCAGTTTCCTCTGGAGCCTGACAGTAGTGCTCTGAGTGTCATCTGTGCATGGGGTGGAAGGGGTCTCTAGAGACTCGGGGCTTGTCTGCACTTACAGCACTGCAGCTGGATCTGTGCAGTTGCGCTGCTGTAATGCACACTACCTACACCAATGGGAGAGCTTCTCCCGCCAGTGTAGGTACTCCCCATCCCTCCCCGAGAGGCAGAAGCTAGGTTGACAGAAGCCCTCCTGCCAACATAGCACTGTTTACACTGGGAGTTAAGTCAGTATAACTGTGTCACTCTGGGTGTGGTTTTCCACCTGTCTGAGCAACATAGTTATACTGACATAAGTTTGTCCTGTAGACCAGGGCTAAGGCCTGGTCTACACACAGCTTTTACACAGGTATAGCTCTGTTGGTTTGGGATGCAATTTGTTTTACTGCTATTGTTGTACCAATATACCCCTAGTATGTTGTACCAATATACCCCTTTATATTAATATAAAGCTACCTTATACTAGTGTAGTTTATTCCCCTTCCTGAATGGGCATAGCTGTACTGGTTAGGGTTGCTACCTGTCCAGGTTTTCCCAGGATCCTCCCTTTTTTGAGGAAGTTGTCCCAGGAAATCTGCCAGGGAGCTCTGCAGGCACTGCCAGCTGGCCAGTGCATAAGGTCAGGATCAGCCCAGATATCTCAGGTTTTTTGTACCTCTAACAACCCCATTACCACCGTGAGCACCTTTACACCAGCCACACTCGGGGTCTGCATTGCTCTGGCTGTCTCGGGACAGCGTAACCTGCCTAACTAAGCCTTGCAACTTGTGCGTGTAGCCGAGGCTTGAGCCAGGGCTTGTGCCGCCGGGGCGGCTGACTGCTGCAAATGTTGGGGCGCGGGGGAGGGGGTGACCCCTCCGCCTGCGGGGCCGCTGACCAGACCTGTGCGTGGCTCTGGGGCGGCTCTGCACTGGGGGGGCCGGGGCCCAGCGGCGGCCAGGGCACGCGAGCCCCCAAACTCTGGGACTGCCCCCGCCCCCGGCACTGCGGGGCAGCCTCGCTTCCACCCTCGGAATCCTCCCCCCCCCCCGGCCCCGCCCTTGACAACGGGCCGCTTCCCCAGCAACCGCGGCCGGGTCCGGCCTGCCAGGCCAGAGCAGCCCGAGGCGGCGCCCACCGGGAGGCGGTGAGAGGGTAGGGTCAGAGGGGAGAGCTCCCCCCCCCCCCCCCCGCACACACGGGGGTGGCGGGGGCTGGCTGGGGCGGAAGCGGGGAGCCTCCAGACTCGGGGCGGGGGGGAGGAGCAGCAGGTGTACTCGCTCACTCAGATCCGCCCCGCCCCGCCCCGGGGCTGGGGTTTCCTGCCCCAGCCCAGAGGTTTCCCGAGCTCGAGTTGGTCAGGGAATGGGCCCTAGAGCTGGTGGCAGAGGGCTCCACCCTGCAGTGAATGCCTAGAAATCCATGTGGGTCTGGAGGGGAGCCAGGGCTGGTTGCGGCTGCCCGCCCCCCCCGGCTCTCTCCCTCGGCCAGTTGAACAGTTCCTTACAGAGGAAATTTAGGGAGTTTCTTCCCTACCCGGGTTATACCTACTTAGGGAAATACAGGGGCTTTGTGCTGTCAACTCCTTGGACAGGGACTGCCTGTATTTGTCTGGAGCACGCTGCCAAATGCCTATAAGTAATAACCTCACAGAGTCTGCTAATTCACAAACTCGATACTTGTCATTTAAAAAACCCTCATCCCAACTTTCAGTGGGTGTTTAACAGAAGAGGTCATGCTGTAGTGAGGTCTATTACTAAGACTTCATTTCTTTTACAAAATATACCACAGTCAGTATGCTAGCATGCTCTGGCATATTACTCTTATTAATCAGTACTAAATTATGCTTGTCAAAAGACATGATAAAGCATATTATGTGATGCTTTAAGTATGATTTCTTTAAATTGTGTTTGGTTGCCTACTCTTTAATTTTCAACATTTGGTAATCACACATGGGCCTGTCATTAGTACAAATTAGTGAGGTTCTGTTGCAAATTGGGACTCCAATACCATGGAGAAGGCTCAGTGTAAGAACTTAGGGAGAATACTTTTTAAAATACTTGATTTGAAAATCATTTCTGCCTTTGCTTACTTCCCAAAATCTGCATTGAGGCCCTCAGTTTCTTTTTTCCTCTGCTGGAGCTGATCACATCACTAACTCCTAAAATAGCATTTTTCAGCTTCTGGTGCTAGTAATGCTATCTGCAGTTATAGGAGAAATAGAACGGTGAGGGCTTGAAGTCAGATCTTGGCAGATAGAAAGCCCTTCAGTTCACCTTTAAGGACCCTGACATTTACAATATAGAAAGGAATGCCAGCAAGTCATTAGTGAGGAGAAGGGATCATGTTCTGGTTGTTAAAGCAAAGGCCTGGGAATTTAGAAATAAGTTCTATTCGTAGTATTGTCATGGGCTTCCTGTATGAGCCAGGCAAGTCACTTCCCCTCGCTGTACCCCATTACCCCCAACTGTAAAATCTGGAAATTATTTTGCCTACCTCAATGGGTGATTAAATTAACTGATTGTTAAAGTACATTGAGATCCTTGGATGGAAGGAGCTAAAGAAGGGCAAAGTATTGTTTTAATTAATTATTAAAATTAAGTGACCAATTAACTTTTATTGGGAGTCTAGAGAACAGCTTGATGGAGAGGAAAGAGGATAAAGTCATTGCTAGTTCAGGACGTTGCTAGAGCTAGATTTGACTTGATTGAGCAAGCACTGACGTTTTTGGAAGTGGCTGGATATTCTCCTTGCCTCTCTGTTGACTCCATCTTGGATGTCACCTTTCTCACAATTACTGCCACATAAAGTGCCCCTTCAAGGGTTGACAAGACAGTGCCTGCCACTGCTGACTGGCAAGTGTTGTCACAGGTGGTGGTGAATTCCCAAGCAGCTACCTTTCTTGAGGTGTTACTTCTTAAACACAATGACTTCCATCACTGAGGAGTGTCTGATACGTTGGTGATGACTCAGGGCACCTTAAGTAAAAGGCGATATAGAAGATAATTTTGTCCCTGGCATAGTTTGTTATTCTGTTCATGTAAATAACCATGTTAGCAAATGGATGGCAAAGCTAATTCTGCCAGATCTGAACTTGACAGCTGTTTTCCAACATGACTGTAGCTAGCACGCTTTCTTTGTGCAGTATATATGGGTGTGCATGTGAGTGTATAAAAAATTGAGAGCCGTGCTATACACATTACATCCTAGAAGTCAACAGCATAGTTGCTTAATACAAATATAACATACATTGGCAAAAATAGCTCCCATAATTCACCACTGGTGGAGTTTCACCGGTGGTAGCAGTGGTGAGAATGCTAGACAGAGCTTAGGTGTATTTACTACTGTCATCCAGTCCTGCTCAGAGCAGATCTAGATATTGGGATAGTAAAAACACCTGCAGCTTAGCCAGTGTTCCACAGTGCTAGAGCAATGGTGAGCAAACTCCCTAAAATTCTGGGTAGACAGGACTTAGATGTGGGTGCAAACTCTGTTGGGCTGTAATTGCTTGAAATAGTTTCAGATACTTTTATGAGCTCTAGTGCTGACAGGGGCTTTATGTTTAATCCATTTCTTGGACTGACTAATTGCTGTCAGGGGGCCCTGTGAAGTCAATGGGATTCTTTACGTTGACTTCAGTGGCACTGGATCAGGCACAAAAGCCAGAAACCTTTCTCTTTGAGCAGACTTCCTTATTTCTTACTTCATGCCTTGAAGAAGCTAGAATGATAGCAATCTAACCTGGAATCATTGGGTGGAATTATTTACCACCGGAGGAAATAGGTCTTTTTAGTAGTTTTATGCAGAAAGGCAAATTGCCTTAATCTGTGCATAAGTAAAATAGCTTGGGAATTTACTACCTGTCCAATTTCATTGCATATCATTTAATAAAACCTTTGTATTGTAGGTGATTTAAGTGTAGAGTAGATGGAAAGGAGCATGCATTACTTTTATTGACTATTCTTGGCTTATCGATAATGTTGTGATGGGACCTACCCTCCATTAACTTATCTAATTCTTTTTTGAACACAGTTATATATTTGGCTTTCACAACGTCCCCTGGCAATGAGTTCCACAGACTAACTGCGTTGTGTGAAGAAGTACTGCCTATTAATTTTAATTGGGCGACCCCTAGTTCTTATGTTATGTGAAGGGGTAAATGACACTTCCTTATTTACTTTCTCCACACCGTTGATGATTTTATAAACCTCTATCATATCCCCCTTCAGTGATCTCTTTTCTAAGATGAACAGTCCCAGTCTTTTTAATTTCTCCTCCTATGGAAGCTGTTCCATATCCCTAATCATATTTGTTGCCCTTCTTTGAACTTTTTCCAGTTCTAGTATATCTTTTTTAGCATGGGGTGACCAGAACTGCATGCAGTATTCAAGCTGTGGGTGTACCATGGATATATACAGTGTCACGATATTTTCTGTCTTATTATCTATCCCTTTTCTAAATGTTCCAAATGTTCGGTTAGTTTTTTGACAGCCATTGTACTTTGAGCAGGTGTTTTCAGAGAACTAACCACAATGACGCCAAGATCTCTTTCTTAAGTGGTAACAGCTAATTTTAGACCCATTCATTTTATGTGCATAGTTGGGATTATGTTTTCCAACGTGCATTACTTTTCACTTTATGAACATTGAATTTTATCTGCCATTTTGTTGCCCAATCACCCAGTTTTGAGAGATCCCTTTGTAACTTCTTCACTGTCAGCTTAGGACTTAACTATCTTAATTTTGTATCATCTGCAAACTTTGCCACCTCACTGTTTACCCCCTTTTCCAGATCATTTCTCAATATGTTGAACAGCACTGGTACCAGTACAGATCCTTGGGGAACCCTGCTATTTACCTCTGTCCACTGTGAAAACTGACCATTTATTCCTACTCTTTGTTTCCTGTCTTTTAACCAGTCCATGAGAGGACCTTTCTTCTTATCCCATGACTGCTTACTTTGCTTATGAGCTTTTGATGAGGGACATCATCAAAGGCTTTCTGGAGGTCCAAGTACACTATATCGATTGGATCATCCTTGACCACATGTTTGTTGACACCCTCAAAGAATTCTAATAGATTGGTGAGGCATGATTTCCCTTTACAAAAGCCATGTTGACTCTTCCCCAACGTATGTGTTCATCTATATGTCTGATTGTTCTGTTCTTTACTATAGTTTCAACCAATTTGCCTGGTACTGAGGTTATGCTTACTAGCCTGTAATTGCCAGGATCACCTCTGGAGCCTTTTTTAAAAATCAGCGTTACATTAGTTATCCACCAGTCATCCGCTACAGAGGCTGATTTATGCAATAGGTTATATATCGCAGTTCGGAGTTCCACAATTTCATATTTGAGCTCCTTCAGAATTCTTGGCTGAATAGCATCTGGTCCTGGAGACATATTATTCTTATACATTTGTTCCAAAACCTCCTCTACTGACACCTCAATCTAGGGCAGTTCCTCTGATTTGTCATCTAAAAAGAATGGCTCAGGTGTGGGAATCTCCCTCACATCCTCTGCAGTGAAGAAGTTGTAATTTGCTTTTTAGTATCCATCCATCCATCCATCCATCCATCCATCCAATGTTTAAATATATGCGACGCAAACTCAGCTGCTGGAATTTGTTTGCCACATCAGCTATAGTTTTCTGTCTCAGATTCCTAAAGCCAAGATATAGGGGTACATGAGCCCAAATCAGCGAAAGAAGCCATTTCACGAAGGGATTTGTGTCTGGACTGGAAGCATCCAGAAAACCATGCCATTGAACAGGAGCAGGGGTATATGATTACCATGCCAAAGGTTGTGTGAACTGATTCAGTGTGATCAATGACTCAGTGTCAGACTTGGCACTCTGCAACACCTTGGAGCCTTTGAGTTGATTCAGACACCTTTGTGGAATAATTATCATCCCATAACAACCTCGCTCCTGCTATATTCATGTTCACACTGAATGCTAAGTAGGAACAATGGAGAACTGGAAACAGAGAGAAACATATTTTGTATCGAACCAATGATAGAAACATAGGGGTCCAGTCTAGTGGCTGTATGATTACTACTGTGCAGCATCACATGGGGGATTTGTCTAGATTAGGAAAAGAGACTGAGGTTAGGTTTATTTAGATGACATGTGTTACCTAACCCCGAGCTAACCTTAATCTCTTTTCCTAATGCAGACTGACCCAAGATCTATTTAATTCACATCACCACTCAGATCAAAACAGAACATAGCATCCTGGGACATAGATTCCACAGGCCACAGCTCTGTTAAATCTGAGGGCACTTATGTACTGCATTTGGCCCAGAGGCAGCAGAAGCTACTTTGAATGAGGGGAGAGGGTGGAGGTGCTTCTGCATGGGGAGTAGGGAGAGGTCAGAGTGGCAGCAGGGAATACTTGGAGTGTGAGAGAGAGGATGGGGTGTAGTAGTGACTTGCTCCTCAGCGCCACAGCAGCTACCTCAGCTCCTCTGCCCCGCATGCATGCACACAGTTTACAGGGAATGACTCGCAGGGGTGGAAACATAGATCAGGCCCCACAGTATTTCCACTGTGTGGGCGCTAACCGCCTGCCATTCCACCGCCCCTGATTTGGCCTACAGGCTGCAATTTGGTCACTCTTGGCTGATTATTATTTAGTTACTTACCTTGCTTTACAAAACCAAATAAAGACAGGTTTCAGAGTAGCAGCCATGTTATTCTGTATCTGCAAAAAGAAAAGGAGGACTTGTGGCACCTTAGAGAGTAACAAATTTATTTGAGCATAAGCTTTTGTGAGCTACAGCGCACTTCATTGGATGCATTCAGTGGAAAACAGTGTTCCTGTCACAGGGAGTTTGCAGTCTAAGCTAAGGGAGGTGCTGTAGCATTGGGAGGACAAGGGTGAAAACAATTTGGTTATGTGGTCACATGGGAGAATGGTGCTGGTATCTTGGGGATGGTGTAGTTTGTTTTTTAAATATCTGTAAGACTCTAGGTTACAAACTTCACAGATTACAATGATCTATTTATTGATTAGTGCAGGATTCATATTACCTAATGAGGGATTTAGGAATTATACCTTTCCCCAATTTCATTGCCCTGGAAATGGAATATGCAATGTGGCTTTGTTTAGTTGGTCTCTAAAATCATTCCACATAGTCACTGTGCCATTAGTAAATTGACACTCAAACCATTTTCTGGGACATGACCATGAAGTAACTCTAGGCCATCTATGCTGTGCTTCAGTTTCTAAGTGCCAGCCTTTCTGGGACTGCTCCAGGAATGTAAGGAAAGCTGTCAGTAGCCACAGGAAACTGCAATTGGCTTGGGAAGTGTAGAAGTACCTGACACCTTTAAGAAAGCAGTAGGTAGAGAAAGGTCACTTGTCCCAATAGTGTGTCCTCTTCAATAAGATAGCAATGCCACCTGAGTTCTTTAGTCCCTAAAGCCAGATTTGCAGGTGGTGTAAATCCATTGCAGACAATGGAGCTACACTGATTTATGCCAGCTGAGAATCTGGCCCCTTCTCTTTTTCCCCACAATTCTGGTTAGCTGTCTCTGAACACCCTTGGAAACTTCCTTTCTGTATTCAGAGCTCGTTGAAGAAATAGTTCTGTTACATACTTCTTACTCTTCATTTCTGAATATTCTGGTTGCCTCCCCCCATTTCCCCTCACCCCCTTTTGGTGTGGTTTCCCTTCCTCCTCGGTGTATGTTCCTCCTCCTTTCAGCCTTTTCACTGCCACATCCATAGATATCCCTATGCTAATTCCCCCACCATACCAGAAAACCTGACCTCCCCACCATCTTAGGTTGCTCTCTGTCTTCTCTCCTTCACTGTAAACTGGCCATCAACAAGTTTAGGCTTGAAATTAGACAAAGGTTTCTACCCATCAGAGGGGTGCAGTTCTGGAACAGCCTTCCGAGGGGAACAACAGTGGCAAAAAACCTATCTGGCTTCAAGACTCAGCTTGATAAGTTTATGGAGGGGATGGTATGATGGGACTGCCTACAATGGCATGTGGTCCATCAGCGACTGCCATTAGCAAAAATCCCCAACAACTGGAGATGGGACACTAGATAGGGAGGGCTCTGAGTTACTACAGAGAATTCTTTCCCAGGTATTCGCCTGGGTCTTGCCCACATGCTCAGGGTCTGACTGCCATTTTGGAGGTGGGGAAGGAATTTTCACCCAGGTCAGATTGGCAGAGACCCTGGGGGTTTTCGCCTTCCTCTGCAGCATGGGGCACATGTCACTTTCAGGTTTAAACGAATGTAAATGGTGAATCTTCTGTAACTTTGAAGTCTTTAAACCATGATTGGAGGACTTCAGTAACTCAGAGGTTGGGGTCTATTTCAGGAGCGCAATGTGCAGAGGTCAGACTAGATGATCACAATGGTCCCTTCTGATCTTCAAGTCTATGAGTCTAAAGCCCAATAACTATCTACCATAACCTTATCCCTCATCGCCGATTCCCCACCAGCATATTAGCAGGTCACTGTCCTGTAGAACCTGCTGTGTGCTGTGAATACATATGAAGAAGCTTTTGCTGACTGTCTCTGCAATACAACACAAATCATTTCTCTTTGCTTCTCTAGTTCTTCTTAGCATTTCATAGAGCTTCTCTCTTCCTTCTTAGCAGGTTGTTTTATAATAATGTCCACAGACAGTTTGGGGGATCAGAGGACTGTCAAAACCTACTACAAAGGTTTCAAAGAAACAGGGACTAGAACTGGCTGAGCCAGCACATATCAGTGCTATAAAGGAAGATGGAGCAGTCTCACAAAGGGGAAAGAAATAATGAGCTTGATCTGTGTAGCAGCATCTGCTTCTCTCCCTTTAAGGGAAAATGATGCATGGAATCAAAGCGAGGCTCAGCAGAGAGGTGTGGGGAGGGACATTGGGGCGTACGATTTTACATGGCTGCAGGCTTCTTTGTAGGGTATTATTGGAGGGTCTTTTTGGATGAACATCTTGTCATGATCTAGTGCTCATTTCTAGAGTAGCCTTAAGTTCCATGTCAAACTGGGCTCCAAAGTGTAAATAAAGATCTGGACCTACCTCTCAGCTCCTGATTAGAAGGTATGTCACTTGTCTCAGACCCCCACAAATCTAAATCGTCCATTAGTATAAATTACGGCCATTGGCAATGCTGAATCAGGAAAGGGAGACAGGAGTATCTATCTTAGAGAAATGAAGGTACCTTGTTTCCTAGTCTGTTCTTTGTCATGTCCCCCACCGGGAGTTTCTGCATTACTCTTTACAAGGCTGAGAGCTATGGGGGGATAGGGAAAAGGAAACTGGCAAATTTGACCCTCAAAAGGAAAAAAAAGAGAGTGTTGGTCTTTAGAGACATAGTGGGTAGAGGAGGGCACTGGCAGTCTATTCTGTTCCAGTTCCATTTGATGGATGGGATAACAGGCCCAGAAAGACTGACATTGGCTGCAGGTATAGCAGGGTGAGGTCAACTAGGTCCACAGGCTCTCCTTTACCTCCTCGTTGCTAATATGGGGCCTGTCTGCCCCATCACACTGACTCCTCTCACAGGGTGTTGAAGCTCCAGTTAACAAATGTTCGTAAAGAGCACTGAAATCCTCAGATAGAAGGCAATGGGGAAGGGCAGTGAAAAAAATTGCAGATATAAATTAATACAGTTGCAATGAGCTTTAACCTCTAAAGCGTTAATAGCTCTTTATAGCAATACCATTGTATTATTTATTATGTTTATTACACAATGCCCCCATTGTGCTAGGTGCTGTATAAACATAAGAGCAATAGAAAGTCCCTGCCCTGAAGAGCTTACAATCTAAAATAGACAAGACAGACAAAGGGTAGCAGAAAAGGGTATCCAAAGTGTGCAGAGTGATGTCATGGGAGTGCCAACATTTTGTTTTTGTTGTTTTTATTAGTACCAGTGAGAGGCTCCAATTATTGGCCCTTTCTTAAACTTTTTTTTTTTCCACCAGGAACCATGGCTGGAAATGTGCTGGTGATACTGTCCTGATGCAGACTTTCCTTCTGTTTCGTCTACGGGGGTAGGGTCAGCTTAGCATGTGAGGATGCAGGAGCCAGTTTCTGGAGACATGAATGTGGCCTCTCCCACATTGAAAACATCAGTGGTGAACCCTGCAGCCAACCCCCGACGTATGCGACGGATCATTGCTGAGGATCCTGAGTGGTCCCTGGCCATTGTTCCACAACTCAGTGAGCTCTGCCTCCAGCACATCGTCAGCAACTTTGAAAGTAAGCCATGGTCCCTTCCCCACAGCAGTCCTACGGACTGCATTGTTCTACCTTGGGTTGTGGAGCCGGCTCACACTGTGTTCTCCGTCCTGCTGAGTGTCAAAGAAAGGGAAAGAGAGTGGGCAGAGGAAAAAATCTCTCCTGCTGCTCAATAGCTAGACGTGTCTATGTAACTCCATTGGCTTCCATTGAGTTACATGGGCGATGAATTTGGCGCACTGGGATTACTGTGCAGAGTGGGAAGCTGCCCTGAACTCAGCCCATCATATCTGTCAGGCTGCTCTTCAGTTTCCCTCCATGCCCTGCTTGGACTCACTATATCAGCTTTTACCTTGACCACTGAAGTCAGATTTCTCTGCTCTTTGTCATCTCACACATTACAGTACCATCCAGGGGCCTGGTCAGGATGGGTCCCATTGTGCTGGGTGCTGTACAGACAGGTAGAACTATTCCCTGCCCCAGTTGAAGAATACAAGTAATGTATGAAGGGTGTGGGATATAAACTTATGATTTCACTAACATTTCCACAGCAATCAGCTGTGATGTTACAACCCAAGAATGGTGACATCCTCAGGTGGAGAGTGTGCATCTGGACCAGATGAATTGCTAAGAAATAGCAAGGCTGCTAGTCTAGCATGCTGCCAGGTTAGGGTTCAGAGTTTGGGTCCTAAGCTGCCTGGATCTGGGAGCCCAGTGAGTCTGGAAAAGGAGTCAGAGTAACAGCCGTGTTAGTCTGTATTCGCAAAAAGAAAAGGAGTACTTGTAGCACCTTAGAGACTAACCAATTTATTTGAGCATGAGCTTTCGTGAGCTACAGCTCATGCTCAAATAAATTGGTTAGTCTCTAAGGTGCAGCTCACGAAAGCTCATGCTCAAATAAATTGGTTAGTCTCTAAGGTGCTACAAGTACTCCTTTTCTTTTTGGAAAAGGAGTAACTTCCTTGGATCCTCAGTGATTGTGACGGATTGGGTCACAGAAACCACCTTGGGACTGCCACCTGATGTGCTGAGACTACCTCTGAGCCCATTTTCCCTGGCAACTTGGGACTTCAGTACCCTGTCTTGTTGAGTCAGACACGCCAACCTGCTACAAACACAGACCCAGGTCTGAACCACGTTCCCCACAAGCTGCAGACTTAACTGAAAACAGCTTAAGAAGTGCTCCTGTCTCTAACACCCAGATATCCAGTTCCCAATGGGAGCCAAACCCCAAATAAATTCATTTTACTCTGTATAAAGCTTATACAGGGTAAACTCATAAATTGTTCTCCCTTTATAACACTGATAGAGAGATATGCACAGCTGTTTGCTCCCCCAGGTATTAATTACTTGCTCTGGTTTAATTAATAAGTAAAAAGTAATTTTATTAAATATAAAAAGTAGAGGATGGTTCCAATAATAACAGACAGAACAAAGTAAATTACCAAGCAAAATAAAATAAAAACACACAAGTCGAAGCCTAATACAGTAGGAAACTAAATGCAAGTAAATCTCACCCTCAGAGATGTTCCAATAAGCTTCTTTCACAGACTAGAGTCCTTCCTAGTCTGGGTCCAGCAATCATTCACGCCCCCGTAGTTACTATCCTTTGTTCCAGTTTCTTTCAGGCATCTCTTTGGAGTGGAGAGGCTATCTTTTGAGCCAGCTGAAGACAAACTGGAGGGGTTTCCACGGCCTTTTATATTCCCTGTCGTGGGTGGAAACCCCTTTGTTTGCCTGTGCAAAATCACAACAACAAGATGAAGTCTGTAGCCACCTTGGCAAGTCACATGTCTATGGATGATTCCTCTTTTTGCAGGCCGATGCCTTAGTTTACATGTTAGTTTGAACGTTCCCAAGAAAGCTGAGATGTGGATTGGCATCTCCCAAAGTCCACTGATAGTTAAGTGTTTCTTGATGGGGCACTTACTGAGAATAGTCCTTTCTCAGGAAGCTGACCAAATGCTTCACTGAGGCTACTTAGAATCAAACAAGTACATAGCCAATATTCATAACTTCAGACACAAAAATGATGAACACATACTGTCATAAATATAAAGGGAAGGGTAAACACCTTTAAAATCCCTCCTGGCCAGAGGAAAAACCCTTTCACCTGTAAAGGGTTAAGAAGCTAGGATAACCTCGCTGGCACCTGACCACAATGACCAATGAGGAGACAAGATACTTTCAAAGCTGGAGGGGGGGGAGAAACAAAGGGTCTGGGTCTGTCTGTGTGATGCTTTTGCTGGGGACAGAACAGGAATGGAGTCTTAGAACTTAGTAAGTAATCTAGCTAGATATGCATTAGATTCTGTTTGTTTAAATGGCTGAGAAAATAAGCTGTGCTGAATGGAATGGATATTCCTGTTTTTGTGTCTTTTTGTAACTTAAGGTTTTGCCTAGAGGGATTCTCTATGTTTTGAATCTAATTACCCTGTAAGGTATTTACCATCCTGATTTTACAGAGGTGATTCTTTTTTTACTTTTTCTTCTATTAAAATTCTTCTTTTAAGAAACTGAATGCTTTTTTCATTGTTCTTAAGATTCAAGGGTTTGGGTCTGTGGTCACCTATGCAAATTGGTGAGGATTTTTATCAACCTTCCCCAGAAAAAAGGGAGTAAGATTTGGGAGGATTTTGCGGGGACAGACATTTCCAAACAAACTGTTTCCTAATAATAATAATACCAGTGTTAGACGTTTGGTGGTGGCAGCGAAAGTCCAAGGGCAAAGGGTAAAATAGTCTGTACCTTGGGGAAGTTTTAACCTAAGCTGGCAAAAGTAAGTTTAGGAGGTTTTCATGCAGGTCCCCACATCTGTACCCTAGCGTTCAGAGTGGGGAAGGAACCTTGACACATACAGACAGCATAATCATAACCAGCAAACTACAACCTTTCCATAGACATCCCTCTTGGCCTTCTCTGGACAAGAACTGGTGCAACCATAGGACCCTGGTTGCAACAATGATCTATACTTTCACAGTTTATGTCAATAACTTCAGTGATGCTCTCTGCCCGACTCGGAAAAGTGGTATTGAAGGCCTCAGAAAGGGTTTGACTAAGAGAGGGTCACTGCAATGTAAGCATGTTAGAGTGTGGGAGGAAATGGAGGGAATACTGGAAGAAGTCTCCGAGCAAAGCCACAGCGCTCTTCTTATGTAGATATCTTTAGTAGAGAGAGAAAGTAGGAACCCAGCTTTGCTTCTCAGAATAAGATTTTCCATGTGCAGACAGGTCTCTCTGTTTTTAGTCTCTATGATTCCATCATGGTGATGATAATTAATAAAAATCAGGTATATAGTGCTGTAAGTGTATATGGCACTATAGAAATTCCCTGTCCCCAGAGAGCTTCCAGTGTCAGTGAGATGAGATGAGAGATAGGACAGAGGTTCAAGGCAGAGGGTTGAAGAGAGATTACTGGAGGAGAAGGGAACATTTTTCTGAATAAGGTAGGTTTGAAGGAGGAGATAGAGAGTGCTTGGTGGGCAAAAAGTGGGTAACTTTTAGTAGAATATACAATGGTGCAAAGCCAAGAGAAGTTTTATAAAGAACATCTAAAGAACCCAGACCCAAAATTTTCTCCTTTAAAAGGTTATCATCCTATGGGGAAGTTCTCTAAACAATGAGCCAAATTCTGCTGTCACATATACTGGTGTAAATCCAGAGCAACTCCATTCACATTAGTGATGTTATTCTGGATTTACCTTGGTGTACTAGAGAAGAATTTTCCATTAAATATCTATTTAGACAACAAGAAGTCCACCACCTAAAAATAAAAATACAAAATCACTATCCACAGTTTATGTAGGACCGACAATATTTTTTTGGTGTGGTACTATGGGAGTAGCAGAAGGGAGCACAATTAACAGATGCTATTCCCAAACAGCATATAAAATCAATGATTGCCAAATGGTAAAAAACTTATGTCAATAGGTCTGGGTTAAAATATTACTCACCATAATATTTCTAGGGGGACTGGATTAGTGAACATACCCGCCCCTCAGATTCAGAATGCTTTTTGGGAGTAACTTCTCCTCTTCATTATTCCCTACAGAGAATCCTGTTGTGGACTATCTCCGGCCAGAGCACCAAAGGAAGGTGCTGGACAGGATTTCCACAGGCCTGCCCCTCACAGTGACCGCCAACCTGATCAGTGACGAAGGCTACTGGAAGAGGTGCTGTACTGAGCGATGGGCGGTGTGTGATGTCTCCCGCTACGGGGGCAGCTGGAAGCGGATGTTCTTTGAACGCCACCTGGAGAACATCCTGAAGTACTTCATCCCTAACACAACCGACCCCAGTCAAGTCCTGGAGGTCATCCCACTTTGCAAGGAGTATGTGAGGAAGCTGGAAATCGATCAGTTCCTCCCACCAGTGAAGCTGGATCAGAATAAGGAAGAGGATGACATGTCCGATTCTGGGAGTGATGTTGGGGTCGATGAATTCTGCATGCATCACTATGACCTAGGAGTGCTCACTGCTGCCCTCTCTCACCTAGAAGAGCTGCATCTGACGTATGGTGTGAAAGACTGTGGCATGAACTTCGAGTGGAGCCTCTTTGACTTTACGTATCAGGACTGTTGCTCTCTGGCCAATGCTTTCAAGAAGTGCCACACCTTGAAAGTAACTTGCCCAAACTGATTTTTTAACATTTATATTTTAAAGGATAAACTAAAACAGGGACAGAGTACCCTTGCAAAGAGCCAAGAGACCAGTTTTACCTGCTGCTCACCATTAGTCTGCCCAGTCCAGTGGATGGCTTCCAAATGTTTGACTCAAATAATTTGACCATCTTAGGCAAATTTTCTAATTTGGTGCCTAAGTATATTCATAGGATGCAATTCACTGTAACATGTAGGGGCCAAAGCCAAATCACAAAAACTGGTAGAGTATTTGAAATGCATTTGATGCCACACAATGGGAAACATTAAGAGCGGGTATAAGCAAGTCTGTATTTGTTGAAATTGATAGGGCTGCCTGCACCAGGTTTGAATTTGGCCAAGTGAGTGGAAAGTCAAGATGTGAAGCGTCCTTTCCCCCTCAAGCCAGGCTGTCTGCTAGCTAAGGGCAGGGCCTTTCCCCTTTGCAGTGCCTATCTAACTTCATGTTTGAAATGATACTAACTTGGTGGCCTGTAATTTAATATCCTGCTAGGTGCTGTTTGTTATCATGTGTTGTGTGAGGTTCAGTAAGGCCTGTGTCTTACTAACGTGAGCAACCCCCTCCCCCCATATAAAATGTGTTCTCTGTAGATCAGGAGGGAAGGAGCAGTCCTGCTGCACCTTCCTGCACAATCCTGGATGGGGATAAGCAAAGGGAGCCAGTTCTTTGTTAGGCCAGTCTCTTAACTTTCACGAGCAAATACATGCAATATGTTACTTAAGGATAAAAATGTGACAGGACGTCACACAGCAGCACAGACACCCCAAAACACCGTGGGGAGATGTTAGAACTCCCAGCACGGAGGATGCTTCTCTCTGGACAATAGTGTAACCCTCAACTCCGTGGTTATTCCAGTACAGAGATTCTGCCCCACAAAATCATAGACAGGTAGGGCTGGGAGGAACCTCAAGAAGTCAAGTCCAGTCCCCTGTGCTGAGGCAGGACCAAGTAAACTTAAGCCATCCCTGACAGGTGTTTGTCCAACCTCTTCTGAAAACCTCCAATGACGGGGATTCCACAGCCTCCCTGGGAACCCTATTCTAGAGTTAACTAATTCCGGAGTGTAACTAATTGACACATCACAATTCAGAGAAAAGGCAGAATAATCTGACCCCTCACTCTCTGGATGGATTGACAGGTTCTGCAACTGCCTTCCACCATTAGGTGCAATGAGCTCTTCTATGGCCACAGAGATCCCATTGTGGGGCCCTTTTGTGACTGCCCCCACTAGGGAACCTTGCAAACATGTAACTGTTATATTTCAGTTAGAGGTCAAACAGTGGCTGTTAAATTTGAAGTTAAGATGGATTTGGCATTGCTCTCTAGGGAGGTTAGGTGCCCAATTCCCTTTGACTTTCAGTTGAATTTGGGCACCTAACTCATTTAGGCTTTTTCAAAATCCCTCCCAAAATGATGGTAGTTGCTGTGCCAACAAGCATGACCATATTTTTCTTCCACAGGTCTTCAAGCTGTGCCGGAGCAAAGTGGATGACGAAAAGAGCCGGATGCTGATACGGAATTTGTTAGATCACCCATGCTTGGTGGAGCTGGACTTGTCCCACAATCTAATCAGGGACCGGGGAGCACGAGCCATTGGCAAACTGATCAACCACAGCAAGCTAGAAATTCTCAACCTGTGTAATAACCGGATCCGGGCCCCAGGAGCCCAGGCTATTGCTCATGCCCTAGCCAAGAATTCTACGCTGACCTCTCTGAACCTGCGCATCAACTGCATTGAGGATGAGGGTGGCCAGGCAATAGGCCATGCCCTGCTGACTAATGCCACCTTGACATCTATCCATCTGGGAGGCAATGAGTTGTCAGAGCCGACAGCTACGCTTTTCTCCCAGGTCCTTGCTCAGAACACAGCTCTGACTAGCATCAACCTTGCATGCAACCACATAGGGCTGGTAAGCAGCTTTCCTGCCTAAAAGAGAAATTGCTTCCGTCTACTACCACTACAGCAGCTAGTGCAGTCCAACTTAAGCATCTGTCTGGATGATTTGACATAAAGCAGATGCAGAGCTTCTTTGGTCTGCGGACTGCTGCCCCTCACCAAGGAGCCAAATTTAGCTCCACCTCACACACTACCAAGGTGATCTTGCTTTGATTATTATAAATTATTGGCAAAAGAGAAGCTGAGGTTACAGCAAATATCACTTAAAAAAGGAATCCCACATTGTTTCACACTCCCTGCACTCTTTATATATAATGAGACCCTCAAGTTGAATCTTGTATTTTGTGAATTTGGCCTTTAGGAAATTGAGAGTTTTGTTCCCAAGTTAAAGAGAGGCCCAGGAAATTCAGGGAACATTTCTGAGACCATCATGGCTTCATCATGGTACGAAGGCATCACCCTTATAATCTCCCGCTGGTATCGATAGATCAGCGTTGTTAGAAAACTGGCTCACTTGCTGAATTTATGTAAGTCTCTGCTCTGCTACTGAGTCACCATGTGGCTTTGGCCAAAGTTTTCATATCCGTGTGCCTAATATTCAACTCTTAAATCCAAGTGGCCTGATTTTCAAAACTGGTGGGCTCACAAATCTCATCGAAGTCACTGGTGGTGCTCAGCTTCTCTGAAAATCAGGTCACTTCTATTTAGTTTTTTACATGTGAACAAAGAATCCTAAATCTAGGCATCCATGTTTGAAAATGGCCTCTAAGCTCTGTGCCTCAGTTTCCCCATTGGTAAAATGGAAATAGTAAAACCTACTGTACCTGTCTGCCCAGCTCATGGGGGAGCTGACAATTTATTAGCCAATGTTTTTAAAGAGTTTTGAAGACAGCAAGCATTTTATTGGTTCTAATTCTTATTAGCCTCTAGGAAAGAGCTAGAACATAATAATAGAAGGAGAAAAGGGTGTTCTAAAGGGTTGAGGTTTATCCTTGGAAATAATAACCCTAATGCTTAGCACCTTCCATCCAAGGGTCTCAAAGCACTTTGCAGATGTTCATTAGTGAAGCCCTAGAACACCCTGAGAAGTGGGTCAGTATTATTGTCTCCATTTTACAGAGGAGGAAACAGAGGCACAGGCAGAGAAAGTGACTTGCCTGAGGTGTCACAGTGTTCAGTGGTAGAGCTGGAAATGGAACCAAGGAGTCCTAACTCCCAGCCCCCTGTTGTAACCATTAGATACACTTCCCTCCCAACATGGGACTCCAAGCGAGGAGTTGTGACTCCCAGGCCCCTGGTCGAACCACTAGAGACACACCAAACTCAGGCCTTGGTTATGTACCTGCATTCCTGTTGATTTCAAAGGTAGACTCCTTCCTTTCCTTTCCCACTTCCTGCCCTCTCTCAGGCAGGTCAAAGGCAGTGGGAGGCTGGGGGCAGGAGGAGTGGTCACAGAGGGTAGGAGCTAGGGTGACCAGATGTCCTGATTTTATAGGGACAGTCCCAATTTTGGGGGCTTTTTCTTATATAGGCACATATTATCCCCCCACCCCCATCCTGAATTTTTACACTGGCTATTTGGTCACCCTAGTAGGAGCAGCATGTTCATTTGGTATCTGATAGATATTGATTGACAATAGCTAAGATTCAACACCTCCAGGAAACGTCTGTTGGTCCAATCCCTGGAGTGTGTTGACAGGTGAGGTAGGTAATGGTACCAAGGTGAGCTGCCTCCCAAAGCTCTAGAACTCCTAAGATCTCTGCCAAATTTTCCATCGCAGCTTGAATTTCCTCAGTGGATTGAACTTCAGTTGTGTGGGAGGCTCTGCCTCACCACCGATGTCCCCAGGAGATGGTTTCTGAAAAGGAGGCTATCTGAGTGGACCTCTCTTGACATTTGCTGGAGTAGGAATGGTATATCTAATTGTGCTGGTGTTGACATTAACTAGCAGTGAGCTGATGAATGGGTGACCAGACACACCGGCATGGCTCTGTCAGGTTATCATCTCAGTCTTAACCAGCCATGAGCCTGAGAACTGCTGACATGATAACCAGAGGGAGCCATTAGTGTGTGCACTGCATAAGGTTACACTCCCTTTCTGTTTTCCTGCCAGTAACGTTTCAGTCTTGCCGAGAAATAAGATACCCCATGTTTTGCTTATTGTCATGTACTCCTACTTTGGACATGTGAGATGGAAATGCACATGCTCCTTTCTCCCCTACTCCACTTGCAGGAAGTAGGTGAGTGCCAGTGAAAGGCACTCTGGGGATTGGGGGACATGAAGCAGCAAGCCTGCCCTGGTCTGCACTTCACATCCATCTCCTTTCTGATTCCAGGATGGTGGGAAGCAGCTGCTGGAAGGAATGTCAGATAACAAGACCGTGACTGAATTTGACCTGCGGCTGGCAGAGGTGGGGCAAGAGAGCGAGTACCTCATTAACCAAGCCCTGAAGGCTAACCAGGAAATTGCCCGTCTGAAAACCTTTCACCAGTCAAACTCCTTGGAAGAGAAATCCCCAGATCTGGATTAGCCTATCACATGCCCTTATTTACCACTGTAGCCTTTGAAATGAAATGTCTTTCCTCATTGGGCAGCTGTGGCCATATGATATTAATTCATGATTGTGGGAGGGGTAAGAAAATGTAACAGACAGCGTGGTGTCAAGGCCTAGGCCCTACCTGGCAGTTGGATCCCTAAGGAGATTTCTCACTGGCTCCTTCACACAGTGTGGTCAAGGGTTTCCATGTGACTTCACTCCTCCATCGCAGCAGTGCTGCTGGATTGTGTGCTGTTGACACCTGTCCATAGGGAACCATGCTGATTACCCCCAGGTGTGGCTGATTACACTCAGATGTGATTTCAGCATAGTTCCTACCTCTCACAGACTGGCCTGAAAATTCATCTCCTGGAATTAGTCTCAGAATAATGTTTTTCTTTATATAACCTTTTCAATTATTTTTTCTTACAATAAAATAACTAAAACAGGGAATTATACATATTCCACTATATTGGCTACTATTCTTACCAATGAAATCAATTGGCAGTCTATGATAGGCATACTACAGTAGCCTATGGACCACTAGCAGTCTGAGGCGAGTTGTCACATGGTGTTCGGGCCTTCTTTGTTTCCAGCTGCTAAATGGCATTAAAAAACTCAAGCCATGTTCACTACTGGTCTAAATGTTTCCTCTCCAGGTGAGCAATGGTAGTTGCAGTTTGGATGTTATGTGACTGTGACGGGAGATACAGAGACTGTGTGTGGGTATTAAAAATGTGGGTTGTGTTATGAACAGAGTTGAGAAACCAGTGTATACAGAACAGTTTTTTTGAAGCAGGAGGGAAGAGTTAATGCATTACATACCAGATGCCATGTTCTAGAGGAAGATTGTACATATTGGGCCAAATTCATGCCTGGTGTACCTCCACTGACTTGAATGAGTTTACAGGTGGGATGAACTTGTCCTCACCCATAGTTAGATTCTGGATTGTCCTGGGTCTGTAGAACAAGTGCTAATCCTCAAAGTTCTGAGTAAGTGAACCCTGTTGCTTATAACTTGTTTTGGTGTCCTGGTAAATAGGTAAAGCTCATTGAGCTCATTTACTAATACCTAATTAGTTCAGGTGTCATCACGTGTGAGTTTTGCATTAGACAGTCATGAATTTAGGGCAAACTTTTTCTCTCAGTCCAAACATTTTGATTGCATCAATGTAGCTTATCTTTGAGGTGAGTGAGGTGATAAGTGAGGTGCTTATCTTTGCTGATCCCCAGTGAAAATGGAGTTGGGGAGAGTTTGAGGCACTTGCTATGGCTAGAAATCAGCTTTGACCTGGAACCTAAAGATTATATATAATGGGGCATTCTACAAACAATGTAAACTGGGCTGCCTTAAGTGAGTATTGTTTTGGACCGTTAGATAACAACAGCTTTGGCAATATTTTGTTTCCACCTGTAGAGGAAAATCAAATCTTTAGGTAACATGAATTTATTGCTTATGGAGTATTTGTGAGTGGTAGTGAGAACTCTCGCTCACCCAGTTACCTGTATTTCTGTCTTGTCTCTGTTCCAAACTTGTGGTGTAGGATATTTTTCAGCCATAATTTTCCAGAGGATTGTGTCAACTTTACTAGTAGAACAAATTCTTCATTAACAACATCCTAAGCGGGTTGGTAACTTCTCTAATGTGCGACTGCAAAACACGTGCTTTGCATTGTGATGTCATCCTGGCATGTGGGTTAATGTGGGGTAGTAATTGGATCTGATGTGGCTTCATGGAGGCAACTTGCCTCTGAATTCGGACCCCCAAAGTTCTTGAGACCCGGTTATGATTCCTGTGGTGCCATCCAGGTTTTGGAAAGCATTCCAGTAATAAGCTCAAGCCAAGACCATTGAGGGGGAGTGAGCCCAAGCAACAGCCTTTTGTCCCCACAGTGAAACAGCGCAGCATCTTCCAAGCAAAGTGGCCCGTTCCAGATCTGACCTTCAGGCCGTGCTGCTATTTCAGGCTTTTCCTGAATGGTGGGCTAAACAGGGTATGTAGAGGTTGGGGAGGGGAGAATGTTGTTTGTTGCAGGTCCGAAACTTTTCTCTGCTTATTGACACAGCTGAGGCTTTGAATATATTTTTACAAACACTGTCTAGCATTCTAGACAGACGTGTGATGACGCTAACGAGCTATGGTCCATAAACAATAGATCTCCCCGTCTTAGGAAGGGTTATGTGCTGTTCTGCCTTTGCCCCTCAGTGGCATTGCTGTGGGAACTGGTGAGGCTCGTTTTGACTAGGACACTTGTCTTAGGGAGGGTGGCTGTTTTTAACCAAAATTTTTTTTAATCTTGGGGTAGGAGGAGCTGTAATGTCCCAGCCAGAACCCATGCAGCTCTGTGTACCCTGCTCAGGGGAAAGCCAAGTTGTCTTGCTGAAAACAAAACTGCTTCCCCTGCATTCAGAGGGAGGGCTCCCCACCTATCACAACGGGAAGGAAGGGAAGCAAAGGAGTAGGGGCATAAGAGTAAGAGGAAGCCAGGGCTCTGTCTCCTCACTCACACACTTCTTCCCTGGAGGGGAAAATACTTGTTGGGCCCAGTCTATTGGCCACTTGAGGAGGGTGATGGGAAAGGGGCCACTTGATTGACTCCCCGGGTCCTTTGATCCCTCCTGCAAGAATGCTGAGCCATGGCAGGCCTCACAGGGTAATATCCTTTTGCCTCTGTGTACAGGGGGGTCTGGTCTCATCCTACTTGTCCTATGTTCACTACCAGTGAATAACATTACAGAGTCTCTGACACGAACAAACCCACAGCTGAGGCCGGAGTCAGTGAATCATCTGGAACTTTTATTACACCGATTTGGTTTACAATCTTTGTACTTTGATATTTCCAACAGAAAAGGCAACATTGTGATATACTGTTTGTACAGCGAGAGAAAGAGAGACAGACAGATAGAGAGAGAGCTAGATCATATTGACATATTTAAAAGTAAAAACTGTTCCCAGTGCTCACTAAAGAGTTTGTTAGACAGATCCCCACCGGTGCTTCACTCCACACAGCAGATACAAACGCCCGTGGCTCTGCTGTCTGTGGACCCCAGGCCAATGGGACCCTTAGCTGCTTGATGCTCTGGCCTTATAGATCAGAAAGGATACGGTGTGAGGTTATCACTGGCAGCAATGGCCACCTTAGCGGTGTGTCAACAGCACTACCCTAAAGCCCTTGCAAATCAACCTACGCTATTTACTCCCTTCCAAGCTACACTCTGGTGTTCTGCAGGGGCTATCACCAACAAAAGAAAAGCCAGCCACAGCAGCTATAAAAGATTTTGTCAAGACCTCTCCAGAACGTCAGCTACTCATTACCTACCACTAAGCATTTTTTGTTGAGGTCGGTGTTCTTAAGTTTACAAAATATTTTCTTAAGAAGTGGGGGAGGGATAGCTCAGTGGTTTGAGCACTGCCCTGCTAAACCCAGGGTTGTGAGTTCAACCCTTGAGGGGGCCATTTAGGGATCTGGGGCAAAAATTGGGGATTGGCTTTGAGCAGGGGGTTGGACTAGATGACCTCCTGAGGTCCCTGCCAACCCTGAGATTCTATGACACAGCTGAAGTAGATGAGATTTTGTTTAGTAACCTTGCAAAAGCCCAAGGACCATGTTCAGCCACACGGGCAGGCGCCACTCCCAACGATGTGGATGGACCAGTTACAAAAGGGATAGATTTGTCCCAAGAACAACTCTGTGTAAATTACAAGGGCAGCCCACTTCGTGGAGAGCAGGGTGATTCATTGAAAACCAGTTCAAGGTTGGAAGTGGTTGTGTTCCCAAAATGTACCGTAAACCACACTCCACCAAATACACAAAGAATGGTAGGTTTGTTTGGCAGCATCTGCCCTGAGAGGTGGTTAGAACTGGGCAAACATAGTTTAAAAAAAAAGGGTTGTGAATATCTGTTACAATAAAAATTGTATTAAATTGCCTTCCAGGGCATTCACACCTTCTTCCTGTAAACAGAGGAAAGTCTGCCAGTAGCTGAACTATAGCAGCTATCTTACAAATGCCTAACCTGTGCCAAGACTCACTGGAATGTCTGATCAGGCAGCCATCTTGAAATCTCTTGGACTTCCCTCCTCTGGCACCCAAATGAAACCATGTGACTTGGGTGACCGCCCCCTCCTCCCCCTGCCAAGCATGGACCCACAGAAGTGAATAACGTGTTAGTTGACACATCTTTGAACAATTTCAAATAACAAACCATTTAGTAAAAATCCAAGTCTGGCCAGGGACCATCGGCAACAGAAATAAGGGCAAATGAATTGAATGAATAATTCACTAGCAATAGTTCACCTAGTGCTATAGAAGGCCAACAGTCCCATAGGACACTGAAGGTGTAGGTCAACTGTGAGACCTCATTGCAAAGCTAGGGAGGAATGACCTTCAGCTCCGAAGTCTGAGAGCAGTTTCTGCTCCACTTGGCTGTATGTTGAGGATCCCCAAATGCTGTTTCTGCCCTATCCAGCAGCATGAAGGGGCAAAATCAGGGCAAGCCAATCAAATGAGACAGCATTTCTTTGTGCGTGCGCGGAGGGAGGGGCGTATAAACAGTGGCTTCGAGAGGTTTGAACTCTTGGGAACGACACTAGAGCTTTTGCTTTAAGTGTGCAAGTAAGCGCCCCCGCCTGAGCTGGATGGGGCGAAAAGCTGGTTCCTTAAAGCAGCAGATGGCAAGCTGGGCTTCTGCTCTTCTGGTCTGAATGCATACGGTGGAAGGGACGTATGTCTGTGGCTGGCTGCCCAAATCTCACAGCTTCTGCTATGAGCCACAGCGGTGTCATTTCTTGGTGTCGGAGCAACAATGTCTCATGAAACGGGCTAGTTAATTTCCAGCACTAGCTGGGAAATGGGGGAGGGTGGGTATGCACAGAGCTCCTTACTTCATTCAGCCCCTTCGTTTGGCCTGCATTAGGTTGGCACTGCCCACACTGAGCTTTCTCTATTTGCTGCCAGGGTGGGGAAGTATTACTACTGCCGCTTAGTCTACCTTTTGTGCGCTCAGCTAGCCAGAGCGGCTGGAGAATGGCAATTTGGAGGCAGTGGAGGAAGACGAGTCCTGGTGGGTTTGTGAGTCGCCCTGAGACAGCAGAGTACGGCCAGTCATTTCCATGGGAGCTGAAAAGGTCTGAGGGACTGGGCAGAGCCTTGCATGCCCAGTCGCAGAATAGCCTGAAACCCTGTTTGGGGTTTTTAAAAACAAATTAGTGAATGAATGTGATGCTCATAAAATGAGGGACACAGAGTGCTGGTCTGAACCATGCATAGTGTTGGCAAGATTCCTCCCACTTAGCCTTGCTAATCCGCCTCAGCCAGGTCGCTCCCCTTTCTACTCCATTCCTGGGCTCTCCACCCAGCTCTGCTAATTGTCCTCAGTCTGCACCTGCAACCCCCACTCTCTCACACACTCTCGTTCAGTCCTGGGACCCACACAGCTCTGCTGGTATATGTCGCTCTTGACCTGCAGTACTTCTGCTTCTACTCTTGGCTCGCTGCAGAGCGGCACTTTTGTCCACGTGGAGTAAGAATGAAACCCTCTGAACTCATTTCGCTTGTGTCCTATGTGGGGAGGGTTTTAGGGAGCCGGGGAGGTGTGAGGTAGTGTAGAGACACTGCCTGCAAATAGTTAAATTAGGCTGAGAGCATAGCTAACGAATGAAGAGCTTTATTCCCACTAGCCAGGCCTCAGAAAGCAAGTGCTGCCAGATCCCTACCAACACCATCCCCTCTGACCTGGATGGATTAGCTTCTCTAGAGGCGAAAGGCAATTTAGTTGTTAGCCAGTGACAATTATACATCTGGGCCTCTGGCAACGTTATCCCTTGTGGTTAATGCTCATCTGTTCCTTGGAGAGTGGGCTGAGAGCACCAGCCTGGGAGGCAATGGTATTGCTCTGATAAATTAAGGCGTCTCAGGCCTTGCAGTTACACCAGGCGTTACTCACACAGCTGTCTCCTTAGCCAAGGAGACTTCTCCTTTCAGAATGTCCATCACACACCTTTCGCTCTACCTTGACGCTGCCTTTGATTCCGCCTTCCGCTGTTTTCTCCCATGCCATCTTCTGTCCTGTAACAGCCTCCCTAGCCTAGTGCCCCAGGCTCCTTCCCCCTCTCCAGCCAACCCCCACCCCCTGAAAAGCCACCACTTCCCCAAAGCCCACAGATGCCAAGCAACTGGATTATAGCATGCTCACCACTCCCACTTAAAAAGATCTATGCTGAGTTCTCACTGTGTTGTGGCCCGCCTAGTCAGTTTTTATCTGACTCTGTCCAGCCTGGAAGCACCTCAGGGCAGAGAGCTTCCTCTGTGAGTTGGACACTGCACATTCTGAAGGCAATGGCAAAGCTTCCTTCAACCTCAGCAGCAGCAGGACTGGGTCCTGTGTTCACAAAGGGCCCTGTAGATAACGCATCTGCGTACAATATTTGTGATGGTGATCGTGCCTTTCGGTCCCTCGTGCCTATAGCGATGTGTTTGGAGTTCCTCTGCCTCGTTTAGCGGGCCCCTCTGCTCGGGGAAAGCAGGTATCTATCTCTCAGCTGTTGAGTCCTGGAGGTCAGGAAAATCAATATGGCAGGGCTTTTACGCTCTGGTGTCATGATCTTTCGGGACCGTTTCTTCTTGAATCTCTGGAAGGCTCTGACATAGCTGCCTATATGCGTTCAAGGAGTGAAGGAAGCAGCAGGGAAGGTTTTTTTGTGAGTGTAGCAACCAGTGTGACTGAAGGAATGATGGCTGTGCTGCAGTGATTTAGAGAATAAAGGAGTTCCCTCATGGGTCCACGTCACGTCACCGAGCACAGAAGTGGGTTTGTGGCTGTCCCCAGAGATGACAGATTAATCCAAGGTTTGTGCAGCCCTCGGGGGGGAAATGTGGCCAATGGAAGTTGACAACATGGCAGGTGGCTGCCGAAACATAGTGCAGACTGAGGCCACTCCAAATCCCAGCATTCCATCTTGATCCAGGGGATCAAGGGAGCAGGTGGGATGGTCACTCAGGCTTTGGTCATGTCAGTAGGATTATGCGTTGGGAGCTGAATAGGGGAGGGGAGATTAGCTGGAGTTATGCCTGGTATCAGATTGGGGGAAGGATTCAATGGCTCTCCAATTCCAGTCAGACATGGGGACTAGGATGTTCTAAAATACTTCTCACCACATGCTTATTGGCACCACCTTTCTATCCCTGCCCTTCATGGCTCATACACTCACTGCAGCAAACGTGAAATTCCACAACCACCTCCACACAAACAAGGCCAGAGATCAGCTTCCTTTCCCATGAAACAGGCATCATTTTATCATTTACTGAACTGCTACAGGAAATAATGGATTACTCTGAGCAACTTAAATTTTGGCGCAGGACTCCATCCCACTAGCTGTGCGTATGCACCAGGCCCGTTTGTTTTGATGGAACAAAATATAACAACTTTATCCTTTTCTATTTTCTCCTTCTGTTTTGTTCTCTTTTCCTTGAGGCCTGACTATTTAGTGGAAGTGGTTGAAATTTTTCAAATTGGTGAGGGGTATGAATAAATTTTTCATCAAAAATTCAATTATCAAGCATAAAAGGAAAAAAACCCTTTACCAAAAATTGTTCAAGTTTTTTTCTCTAGCTCTATTTTGAAGGGGGGAACCCAACAGGAAAAACTTTTGAGAAATTCCTCTAACACATTTTATTGGGATTTTTTTTTTTCCAACCAGCTCTACAGTGTATTGAGTGAAGCTTCACAGAACAGTAGAATCCATTAGTTTGCAGGGCTGTTGTAGCTGTGTTGGTCCCAGGATATCAGAGAGACAAGGAGGGTGAGGTAATATCTTTGATTGGACCAACTTCTGTTGGTGAGAGAGACAAGCTTTTGAGCTCCACAGAGGTGAAAAAAGACAAGCTTCTGAGCTTCACAGAGCTCTTCTTGAAAGTTTGTCTCTTTCCCCAACAGAAGTTGATCCAATAAAAGATGTTCTCTCATCAGGCCTCTCTCAGAGGGCAGGTCTACACTACCAGTTAAGTTGATCTAACTTATGTTGCTCAGGGGGATGAAAAAACTCCCCCCGGCGCAACGCAAGTTTTGCGCTGTCCACACTGGAGCTGTCGGCGGGAGACACTCTCCTGCTGACACAGCTTATGCTTCTCACTGAGGTGCAGTAATTACGCCGATGGGAGAGCGCTCTCCTGTTGGCACAGTGCATCTACACTGGATGTGCACCGCAGCGCAGCTGCATCAGTGCGGCTGTGCCGACGTAGCGCTGTAGCGTAGACTTGCCCAGAATCTATTATGTCATTCTCCCACCTCCCCTTCCCCACCTCCAATGTCATCACTCAGGGCCATCTGCTCCCCAGAAGAAAAATCTGATCAAAAAAACTCTCTCCCTAACTTGAACAGGAAGAATCCATCTGTTATCACCTGATCTCATGGATCTGCTCCTGCTTCTGGAGACTTGTTTGTATTCTCAGGCCTGTGTTTTGAATCCTTTTCACCCTGATTGCTTCAAGGGCTGCCATCCAAAGTCAGAACTCATTAGATGTCAGCTGCCAGTGCAGCTAATGGACACTAGAATCGTGTGACTGATACCAATACTAAATCATCTTGACACATTGTAGCTATGTTGTGTTTCTTTCACTCAGTGAATAGCTAAGATTGCAGAAGTAGCTTGCACTGATGGAGAGTGAGCGATCCTTGTGTGTGTGTGTGTGTTTGCTCTGCAAAGTCCACTAAAGTCTAATCACAGTGGGTGAGCTACAAAATCCCCAAAGTTCCAAGAACTGGCAATATTTCTGGAAGGGCACATGTGTTCCCATAAAGTTTCATTTTCCCCATTAAAAGTCTTAGGTCTTAAAAGTGTTGCATAGGTGGGTGATGTACCTGCTGGTAGAGACTGGCTCTGGATTGCAGGAAGATGATCTCCTTGGACTTCATAAAGACACTGCCCCCAAGACAGACCAGGCATGGAGAGAACAAGGGGAAGTACATGAGGCTTCTTCCAAGTTTAGTTTAGACCCTGGAACTTGTAGGCAGGAAGGCTGTGGAAAATGCCATGTCCTGGCTGGAAAGAGTTGCTGTTGGGGAGAAGAAGGCTCCTGGCCCTAGGTGGCAGTGGTCAATTTGTTTGTTTCGATGCAGCTCACAAGATCAAATCCTTGGGCATAAGGTTCCCCTTCAAAGTGTAACTCTAGGTTCCATGATGGAGGGAGGAGAGCAGAACCTCCTGACAACAGGTTGGCCACAGGGATACCTGGATCTCACAAGCTCAGTGAAGACCAGGTAGCTTCTGGAAGGTGATTTATTCAGCAAAATCCCAATGTTAATTCCAGGCATAAAATAAATATTGCAAGGGATTGATTAGGCTGGATTCAAGGGCAAGTGAAGCTGTGGAGAAGATGGGCCATGTTCACCCTTGCGTAGCTCCACCGGCTTCAACAGAGTTACAACTAAGGATGAACACAGCCAATTAATTTCTACTTGCACCTTGGCTATGCCCCTTCCCCTTCTTTCCAAAGTGCCCATTATATCCACTGAAGTTAGCAGTGCCCACAAGGGGGAGGAGAAAAAACAAGCAGCCTATGTTCCAAACTGTATAGGACCCAACACATCACACATCCAGGCTATGCAAACTCTATGCCAACATGTGCATTTCAGTTGGAATATACAACTGGCCTGATGTTTAAATCACAGGCCATGTATTGGATAGCATGGAGCCAGGTAGCCATATATTTTATTTTCTTCAACAAAGACTAATTTAATTTAAAAGAAAGCATTCATTCTGTATGGAGCGCTATGGCTGCCCATGGTTTGGTAATATGAATTCTGGCTGGTGCAGTAATGTTTCAGATCTCCACCACACATACTGCACTTCTCACTGTATACTGCAGGACAGCAGCAGCTCCACTGCCTGGTTTTAAACTTGACAGCTGTAAAATATCACTTGTGTGATAATTAAACAGAAATGACCAGGGTTGTGAAATGACCAGGGTTGTAATCTGAACGGCTGGAACAAAAGGCCAAGGATGTTATTTCACCATTGGAGTAATACTTAAATCAGAGGGGAGATCTTATACTGTTATTGCCCCTGAAACCAGGTGCTACTTGGCTTATCACCCTTTTTGTCTTCTTAAAGATTAAGGCCCCAATCCTACGGTTGAATCCCCACAGGCAGGCCCCTAGTGGACTCTGCGTTGGTGCAGAGGCCCACTCCTGTAAAGCTAGTTGCAGAACAGGGGCCTGCATGTAAAGGCCACTCACATGCACAGTGTCAGCCATCTTGCTCTTCTTAAAGAGTATCGCCCGCTGAGCATATCCATTCCAGTGCCCTTCCCCCCGCCTGCTTCCCAGACAGCGAGTTGAGCAAAATCACCCGTGTCCTCACTTGCTACTTCAGCCTAATCGGAACTCGGACAAAAGATGAAAAGTTAACTAATTATTTGGGAAACAAAGGGCAGCAAAGGGCTATTTCTCTGGATTGTGAGTAGTAGGTGCAAAGAGGGGTTTTTAAAAAAGTCAAGCAAACAGTAGCCTCTACGTTTTCCATAGTGAAAATTTGTTGGTCGTCAGCACAGCGCTGGATTGTCAAGAATCACGTCTTAAAAGCAGTGTGTGTTTGTTGGTGTTCTTCGTCAAGCTCCAGCTCTTGGGAGTCACGTTATATGGTGAGGGTCTCAGCTTTCATTTAAAGAAAAAAGGAAGTTCTAAGTCCTTGTGGTTGGGGAGAAGAGCTTGAAAATGTGACTTGTAAAGGCTCAAAGACCTAAAGGCAGATTAAAAGAACCCCAAATGTATTTATTTTTTAAAATCCTATCATTTTTAAGCCAGGCTATGCATCGGGGGGGGGAGCTGATTCATATTTGAATGCTTGTGATTAGCTATACAGAGAAGTTTCCTCTCCCTGCCTTATCAACAGCACCTGCCATTGTTAAACCTGAACAAACATTCTGAAAATTCACCTGCTGTCCTCATCAGGAGTTTGTTTGAGGCCTGGCATTACAGGCAATGATACGAGGCTGGTCAGTTTCGCTTCCTTGCACTGCACTAGCAAAGGGCTTGGGAACCCAGGACTGTTGGGGAAGGTTCAAAGGCAAAAATGATAATGGCTAAAATGATGGCAATGTGTCTATTCAGATTAGGGTTGACTGAACCCCACTCACTCACACACACACACACACACCCTTTAATTAGCAAAGCCAAACCTTGGGGCCTACACTACTTGACAGATTCTTGCCTGGCAGCAACAGGAAATGCAAAATAGCTCAAGAGTATTATTTAACCTTATCCTCTTTGAATACTGCATTAGCTGTTCCACGTGCTGGGAAAAGAAGGGGCCTGGCTGCTGTCCCGTTCAAGCATCGTGCTCCATGGGTAAAAGCCTGCTGTGTCCAGCATTGTGCTGAGAACAAGCCCCAGTGTATGGGAGACTGCAATGGTTGGGATAGGGATGGGAAAAGTTTACCCTTCCCCTCTCCCTCGCTTTGCAACCTAGCTCCAGCGTGCTCCTAACCTTCACTAAGGGATATGTTCTGATCTGGGCTGTAGGGGTGGGGCCACTCTGCTCTCCACATGTACAGGGAGAACAGCGCCAGGCACCTACAACACGGAGAGCAAAATCACTCTGCAGCGATCTGCTGAGCTGTCGGGAGAGGGAAAATCAGCCCTGAGATGAGCCTTAGCTTGCAGGATAATAGCCCCTCCTTGCTTTGTTCCTTTCCCCTCTCCCTGCTTGGGTTTCTTCAGGGCTAGGACACAAGGAAGGAATCTTTGGACAGGAAAAGGTTGCACAGTCCAGCAAGCACATGGTCTGCATAATAAGACCTTGGAAGAAGTGGGCACTTGGGCTCTGGAGAAGAGCAGGCTGAAGAGAGACAGTACATGTCTGTTCATACAGAAAGGGATGTTCCAGAGAGAAGCAGGGTCAATTACTCTCATTAGTCAATGGAGGAGAAGTAACGGGATTAAGATACAGCAGGGAGAATTCAAGTTAGATATCAGGCAACATGCTATCATGAGATGAGCAGACGGGCAATGGAACGAGCTGCCAAAGGAATCACCATCACCGACACAGACATAGCTGAGATCAGACACTAGGCTGCAGAGAGAATGGATACCTGGCCAGTTCAGACAATGCTGCTAAGCCTATAGCCACATGGGGGTCCCTGGGTCCCATCCTAACCGGGAGGGGGTGAAATGCTAGTGGTGGTTACTGCCACACAGACTGGAGGATTGGTGCTTAGGGTGACCAGATGTCCTGATTTTATAGCAACGGTCCCAATATTTGGGTTTTTTTTCTTATATAGGCTCTTATTACCACCACCCCCCAAACCCTCTGCCCTGATTTTTCACACTTAGATCACCCTATTGGTGCTTTGTGCTGACAGCGTAAATAACTTGTGCCCCTTGGAGAATTAAAACATCTCCCCATTCATGTGGGCCTGACTGGACACGTAGTAGGTTCCTCGTTCCTCCTGTTTAATACATGTTTAACACACATGTACTAGTCCCCTCACTCCTTCATAAACCCATGCACCAGTTCTGGATGCTGCTGTTCTCTCCCCCAAGCCCCCCGGGATAAGAATATGGGTGTAAGGGGGGGTGCACTGGACTCTTAGCTGAGGCCCCAGGTGCATGGCTGGACTAAAAGGCCTGTCAGAAGCTAGGGGGCGGGCGGCAACGGCTGTGAGTCCCTGGTTCAAGCCCATCCTCTCTAGGTTTCTCATCCTCAGCCCAGGCCATCTCCTGTCTTCATCCCTGCTCCCCTCAGGCCCTTGGCTGTGCTCTGCTCCCATGCCCAGACATGGCACATCCACTATGCTGTTAGAGTCGGCGGTCAGGTCTCCCTACATGACCGTGGCTTGTCCTGCTCCAGGGAGGGAAATGTGTGGGCTGGAAGGGCTTGTCCTAGCCCCTGCTCACACTCTCAGGCCAGGCACATGCCTGGCTCCACTGTAACTCAGAACTGGGGGAGGAGGGAACCAGAGAGCGGATGGAGTTCCTCCCTCCCCACATCCTTCTCAGTGGGGTCCAGGAAAGTCAGATGAGACCCATATAGATGGGGCTGCTCTGATCCATCCCCCTCGGAACCCGGGCTGGGTGACCATTCCCGTCATGGTACTTTCTAGTGTGTACCAGTGCCTTGGCTGGCAGCTGCACTGCTCCCGTCATCATCCGCTCAGCAGACTCTCAGCCAGGGCAAAGGGACGCAGGAAGGATGCAGGGGTGATGGGCAGATACCCCGGAGAGCTGGCCCTGCATGCTGCCATCTGCCTTAGGGCAGCGCTTAGAAAAAAGGCAGCGTGTTGGAGAAGCTGCTGGATTTCAAAGGGATTAATTGGCCACTGGCATGTCTGATCTCAGCATTTCCTCCCCCCCAGCCCAGGGGACTCCTCCACTACCCAGTGAGAATCTCTTATCTGGTGGGGGAGGAGAATCTTAACTCAAGTGGACAGCTGGATTTATTAATGGGCTAACAGCAGGAGAGCAGGGAGGAGGCAGCTGGGCTGCAGAGCCGAGCTGGTTAGAGGCTTTGTTGGGTGCGGTCACACAGAGACACGCACACACACAGGCTGCGCCTGCCCTTTCCTCATCAGATTGAGATGCCTAGTGCTTAACCTCCCTCTATGGCACAAGCTTTCCCCATGTATCCTAGCACCTGGCCCTCCCTGTGCGCTGCCAACACCATCAGGTAAAGGGTGGCTCAGGGCTAGCCCTAAGATTTGCAGGGGAAAGGGGAGATAGGGCTGTTAATTGCCTTCCTCTCAAAGTGGGGATCAGAAATGGGTGAGGAGTTCATGGTGGGAGATCAGACTCCAGATGGCAGCTTTTCTCCCTGTTGCTGAAGAAGCGGGGGCTAGCCTATGAGATGTCAAGTTACTATTAAAGGTGCCCCCAAATCAGCAGTGGCTTAGTGGGGCCAGTAAAAGTGCTGCTCTGTGGGAGTCCAGGGTTTGATTACTGAACCTGCCTTTTCTCTCCCTTGGGCTGGCAGGGGCTTGGGACATTGTAGAGGCAACACCTCAGTCCACAGAGGGGTAGGCGGGATGAGAGCTTGGAGGGGCTTCAAGCAATCTTGGACAACCTTGGCTCAGGCTTTGGTGGTGGAGAATTCCAGTCAGAGGGGCCAAACTTCTCCCAGCAGCATTAGCGAGCCTAATGGTGCCACTTGGGGACGCTGTGTTTGAAACATGAACTTGGTTGTGGGGTGAGTTTGTTCAGTCCCAGGTGCTGGGGCAGTGGGTGGCTCCCATCATTCTGTAGAGAGCCTCTGGCCAAGTCAGCAGCAGCAGCATCTAGAGGAAGCCTAGTCTTGCTGGCTGGTAGGACAGTCTCCCCAATGACACTTTGAGGGTGGTGTGGGTGAAAATGGAGCTATCTAAGGACCAAGATGAACCTGAACCCTAAGGTTCTAACTCTAAGGCACCTGGCCACAGAAAGATGGCAAGTGTAGCCTAACCTAAGCCATGAGCAGCTTTAAAATGGAACAGCTGGGGAAGGACAAGAGAGCCTGAGTCCCCTCTCATGTACCCCAGTCACAGCCCATTTTAACTCCATTATTTCAGTGGGGATACTCCTCTACCAAGGCATAAGGGCACATTCCATCATCTCCCATTAATGTCACTAGGAGCTATTCCATTGACATTAACAGGAGTTGCACTGGACCCTGAGTGAGAGGCGAATGAGGCACTGGCAGCCAAAGTCAATTGGTATAAGAGGAGCCAGTGGAGCTGTAGCCACTTCTACCAGGTCTGGGTTTGGCAGAAGCATTGCATAGCGTGCAGACAACAATGGAAACAGAACAGCAGGATAGCCTAGGGCCTGGCTATTTATACCTACCAGTTCTTAAAGGGCCACGGCCATTTAAGCCCAAAATGTAGGTTCTGTAGTGGGAGGAGGGGAATTTGACAAGACAAAATCTGAATGGAACTATGAGGTTTAAAAAAAGTTTCAGTTAAAGTCTTTGTTTTAGTAAGCAGAACAAGTGAAACTGACTAGAAAAAAGTGTGAAACTGACCAGCCTAATTTCATTGCCTAAGGACAGAGAATAAACTTCATCAGCGATGGGGGGAAAGTCAATGAGATGTTTAAAATTCTTTCAGCTCGAACAGTCTCAGGTCCTGTTAGAAACACGGGGAAAGATCTTTATCTTGGAAATGAGGGGAGAAGTTAGTGAAGTATTAATTCTTATTAGAGAAATTCCTTAAAAGTAGGTCAGATTCTGGAAAGCGACCAACACAACAGCATTACTGAGGAGAGGGGCTGGGATACAGGGAGTGGTACAGGCACTGAGATCTCATCAGTGAAACAGTACAGCAGCATTACATGCAGAAATGGACCGGGGGAGGTCTGGCTGAACCAAATGTAACACATAGTTCAGTGTGTGTTACTTGTCTCCTTTCTGTAGCTGATCTGCAGAGGGATAGACATGTCCTGCTGCCAGGGACGGATTAACCTTTTGTGGGGCCGGCACAAACATATTTGTGGGCCTCCATGAGGGCAATGGAGCATGGCGCAGGGAGGTTGGTCCTGAGAGCGAGGGGCCAGCCAAGGGCAAGGGGGCATGGCATGGCAGGGGTGGCCCCCCTCCGCCCAGCCCAGTGCAGGGCACTATTAACAAACCAACAGTTGCCAGACACACAGTGGCCTGCCCGGCCCTGTGTTGCCAGTGTGCCCCTTCCCCTCAGGGGTGGGACCATGCCACGCCACACAGCCGTCCCCACCCCCCAACACCCAATAGGCCATAGGTGGTGGGAAGCAGAGACTGCCCAGAGCGAGAGGTGCACTGGGGTCTGGCCAGGGGCTGAGAGGAACAGGGGATGGGGCCATGGAGAGGAGAGGAGCCCTTGGCCAGCCGGCAGGCAGGCCAAGAGGAGCAAATGGTGGGCGGGGGGGAGCCAGCAGGGTCTTGGGGCACAGTGCAAGCGGAGCAGGCCAGGGCCCTTTCTGAGCATGGGCCCGGTTCCATGGCACCTCTGGTGCCATTGTAAACCTGGTACTGCCTACTGCTGCTGCCAGCTACTGGAGTTACTCCTTTAGCTCAAGCAGTGGAGGACCATGCTGCTTCTTGGGTTCAAAGCTTGCTGCTGGCTAATGGTGGGAGTTGCTCCATGCCGTTCTCTGCCATGGTGGATGATGGGAATGCAACAGGGCTGGTGGACAGCAGGGACTGTGGGGATCACTGGCCAAGGCCAGAACTTGGCCATTCAACAGGCACAGATCAGCTAGCTGAATGGAAAAGGGGCCTTAGGAAAACCGGTGAGCCTATAATGAGTTCAAGAGGTGCGGTGATGTTCTAATGAAGAAGGCAATACAGACAGAACCAGCCCAGAGCTTGTGGGCCTAAGAGGCACTATCTCATCACCCCTTTCTCACATCCTAGCACAGATTTTGAAAGATCTCTACAAAAAATACAGTTCAGCCTTGACTACTTTTCCTTTTTCCCTCCCACCACCAAATATTTATGGGCCCGATCTTGCAAATCCTTCCTCATGCGAGTAGCCTCATTGATTCCAGTAAGGACTCCTCACATGAGTAAGGGTTTGCAGGACTGGGAGCCTGCTGAGACGCCGATCCCTCTAGGTATGTGCATGTGAAGTGGTGAAAGGCGGGCAACTGTGGTCAGTCCGTTCCAGGGTTACAAAAACGGTGGCATTCATACCCCAGTATGATGTGCCCGTGGGACAAAGGCAACTTACTGCAGCCAGGTAATGGGCCAGCCTGGGTTTCCTTGAGCACTTTCCAAAATAATCCCCTTATTTCTAACCACCCTCTGTAGTTTAGCGTAGAAGAAATGCCTCGTGTGGCCACTGCTGCTGCTCTCTGAGGACCTGATCCTGCCACCCTGACCCATGGCAAGTAGAACCACTGACTTCAAGTGACTGTTCATGTCTATAAGGATCATTTGCAGGAGCATGAGTTTGTAGGATTGGCTATTGATGGCCTCACCCACAAGCCCAGCCTAGCAGGAGATCTCACCCACACGCACTAGTTTCAGGGAGAAGTTTAAAGAAAGTGACCCATTTAGGCCTTGATCCTGCTATTGGATTGCATAGGTGGACCCACACTGACCAATGGGGCTCTATGTTAATGCAGGGGGCCACTCACATGGATCCCATCATAGGATTGGGACCTGAAAGGTGAACTGGTGTGGTTTTTCCTGCTGCAGACACCTGAGTTAAAGGTTCTGTTGCCACCCACAGCGGGGCAGGGAGCTGCATTCATGCCACCACTGCCGGTGTTTAGCTGCTCCCAGGGAACTGGCTCCTGCCCTCAGGGCTTGGTGGGTTCTTTTACCTCTGATAAACCTGCTCGCAGACTCTGTACGGAACCTGGAAGCATGGCCTTTGTGGAGTATTATCAATGGGATTGTTTCCGTTCACCTTTCAGCCAGCCAGAGGATTCTGCCCATTGGTCTGTGCTACGAGGGAGGCACCCTAAAGAGGTTGTTGGGCAGGTTGCATACAATAGTCCCCTAAGGAGCCAGTGGAAACCCTTCAGAGAGGAGCGTGGAGCGCAGGAGCTGAGGATCATGCTGAGAGGAGCCCTCTTTGTAACCACATGGGCCAAAGGGGTTGCATTGTTTCAGATTGTTAGCAGCCCTTCCCTTCACCAGCATGGACAGCAGAAACTCTGGGCCTCTCTACATCCCCACCTCTCTCCTATCTCCAGCCTCTCTTTGCCCTCAGAACTCTGTGCCAAACCCAGCTTCCCTTCGTATTAGTTACTGGAACCTGGAGCCAGCTTGACTTCATGTAATATTTACTCTCCCCGAGACCCGCCAACCTGCTCTTCTATTATTCATAGGTAAACTGCAGTTGAACCTAACAGAACCTCCCTGGATGCCAGACTCCTTGCTTGGCTGAATTAATTATGACTAGACCTCACTCACTTCAAGACCTCGGGGTCCCCAGCTGCCCAACTCACCCCTTCCACATAGGGTGTCTTTGGCTCACAGAAGGCACCCAGCACACAAAGGTCTCCTTGGTTTGCTTTGCAGGCTGGGCCTTCTCCTGCTAGACCTTCTGGCTTCATGCTGTGACTGCACTCTAATGCCAGGTAGGGCCTTTCCTTGGTATATTCCCTGTTGCTTCCTGCTTTCTGCAACCCCAAATGGAAAAGTACTTGGCTTTAAGCTTTACCTAGGGAATGCCGATTTTTGGCCCTGGAGTGCTGAGGCTTTCTAAGGAGCCATCTGGCAGCGATGCCCATCCCAGCAGCTGGGGACAGTGTAACAGTCGGAGCACAGTCTCAAAAAAAGGGGGGAAAGAGTTGGCCTTGTGGTTTTAAGCATCTCCTCTAAACTGCCCTTCAGCTCTATGGGCCCGGGTGCCCCAGGATCTTTGGCGCATGAGGAGTTAATCGCTGCTCCAAAGGGAATGTGCTGCCAGACCTTGATCCTCTTGGCCCCATGTGGGACCCCTCTGCGGGAGAGTAAGTCTGCAGCGCTGCGGGAGAGGGGCAGAGGTCACGGATGCAGCAGGGCGGTGGGTGGTAGTTGTCATTTAGCACTATTCCAGCCAGCCGGGGCCTTTCGAGTCCGAGCTTGAAACTACAGCACCCAGCTCCCTCCTTCAGTCCTTTCCTTTCTACCATTTTTTGCATCTGGTCATCGGTCTGTCATTTTGTGCCATGCACAGGTGGTGCTGCTGCTCACCCATCCTGCTGCCACCCCCTCCTCCATGACATCAAAGGGGCCATGTGGCTGGGAGGAAAGGCAGCAGCTGTTGAGCCTATCCTTGGAGACCAAGAAGCAGTGACCTCTCCATCCCACATGCTGAGTGGGGCACTGGTGCCTTGTTTTCCTGGCTATCCCCTCCCTTCCCAAGTCCCTGTGCCTGGAGACACGGTGATCAAGAGGGAGATCCTTGCTGCCCTCCGCTCACAGTGAGGTCTCCATGCAGGACCCATTCCGATGGAGGTGACGGTGGTCGTGGTTGAGGCAGCCCTCATTGCGGTGCACGATAAGGACGGGGAAGTAGAGGGCATCCTGGTAAGCAGGAGGGTCCTCCTCTTCCACGGTGACCTGGCTGGAGAGGCGGGTTTGCTCGGTCGGGCAGCTCTGCTCATTCAGGCTCCCGCTCCGGCTCTGCCAGAGACAGCTGCGCCGGGAGCCATAGAGGCGGCCCAGCGAGAAGCGGCTGCTGCTGAAGGGGATCCTGGGGCTGCCGTTACAGATGCTCAGGGCGCTGCGGGAGAAAATGGACGAGCTGCTTATAGTCCTGTGGCACCGCTCGCAGTTCTGCCGGTAGCCCCCGTACCTGCAAGCAGAGTAGCTAGTGCAGCTGGAGAGCCCCACCAAGTCCATCAGGACGGCCTCTGAGTAGCTGGGCACTAGCTGCTGGTTGGACCGGATGTGCCACTCCAGCTCAGTGCTGTCCACCGTGTTGACACGGGGCATCCTCCTGCAGAAGGAACGCTCCTCAGCTGGTGTTACTGCCACAAAGTCAAACCCAAAGAGCTTCTCCACGTGGTAATGGACGTAGGAGGTGCGGTACTCATTCAGCACCCGCAGAGGCCAGGACAGGCTCAGCAGGGCAGCCACCCAGAAGACGTAGTGGGACACATACCAGGGCAGGTTGTCTGGGTCTGAAAAGGCCACCATGTATTCCTTAAAGTCCACGTTCTTGAGGTGCATCCCCTCCCTGGCCTCCATGTAGTCGTCCAGCCCCTCGTTCTCGGTGAAGAAGCGGGCGCGCTGGGTCAGGTAGGAGTTCTCGGACTCAACGTTGGCAAAGCTGAAGCATTTGGTGAAGCGGAGCCGAGTGGCTGGGTAGCTCTCCAGGTCCATCAGGTCCTTGGAGATGTCCTTGACCCCACAGTTGGAGTAGTCAAACTCGGCCTCTGCCACGTGGGTGTTGACCCTCTCGTGATACACCTGGGTGGTGGTGTAGGCGTCCCCATTGCGGTAGCGGGTGACCTGCCGAGTCCTCCGGACATAGTGGTAACTGATGGCTTTCCACCAGATGCATGGGGTGGCCTGTTGCATTCGCTGCACCCGCTCGTGCACGCTGTCTACGTCCACCTTGTACTGCAGCTCGTTGCGGACATAGCAGTGCCAGCACTCCACCAGGTAGACCACGTAGAGCATCACCAGGAAGGCCAGGGGGATGTAAACGTAGCCATTGGAGCAGGGGCTATCGTGATACATCATGGACTTGCCCTTGTAGGCGCTGTCAAAGGTCAGCCGGGTGACCTTGGTCACATGGCACCAGGTCATAGCTCCCATGCAGCCGTACATGAGGAGGGAGAGCAGCAGGCATTTCCAGTGGGATTCTCTGCAGAGGGACTTACTGAGGGACTGCTTCACCGGTCGCTGCTGCTCCAGGTGCCCAGGAGAACCGGGGAAGAGAGGGAGAGAGAACAGGGGGAGAAGTTAATAGCCTGCAGCAGAAAGGGGAAAGCCAGCCCGCTGAACAGAGCGTTGAGTCGCTCCTGCAATTAACTGGCTAAAGAATTAATTCCAGATTGCTGTCCTCAGAGAGGCAACAGATCCCATTCAGAGGTTACTCCTCAGGGATAATCCTCTCAGCTGGCTGGCGAGACGGGCCAGAGGTCTGTGCTTCGTCTCGGGATGATGCTCTGTGTGACTGATGCCCAATTCCCATATTGGGCAGCCTCTGGCTACCGCACTGGGAGTCGGTGCCCACTTCCTGCCATTCCAGGGTTGCCACGTGCCCTCCTCTCCCAGTAAATGTGAACAGACCATGCTGTCCCTGCCTGGAAGATATGGACATATGACCCCCCACCCTCCAGACTGACTGTGGTCTCGCTGCTCCATTCATGAACTAGCATCAAAGCGCAGAGAAGTCAGGATCCCTCCCTCTCCCCTGTCACTTGAAGCCAATGTCATGTCTTCCAGCACACCTAGGAAAGGGCAATCCCACCTCTGATTGGGAACGGTAATTGCCCAGCTTGCCTGCAAGCCTCTGCCATGATTCACTGTTGCTGTAGGCTCCAGCCCCAGGCTAAGTGGCTGCCTCCCCTACTCCTCGCTGCCTGCCATGAGTATAAATCAGCGAGGTGCTCCCCTGAGCAGCAATTCCACTCCCAGGGCAGCTGTCTGCACGTATGGCAGTCCAGCTGTTAACCTGCCAGCCACAGGAAAGGCCCTTCTCTGGGAGAGCTACAACAGGTTGTAAATCCCCCTATGGCTGTTCCTCCAACAATGCCTGACACAAATAGCACTGCAAGCGGATCAGTGCTCTAGAGCAATGCTACTCAAAGTGGTGGTCCGCGGACCGAGCCATTGGCTGCTGGTCTGCGTGCACATTGGGGAAAAAAATTGCCGGTCCCTCACATCAAATAGCTTGAGAAGCGCTGCTCTAGAGTGCAAGTTTCCAACCCTCTCATACTGCGACAATGACCTTTACTGTGCAAGCTCCCCTGCACTATGGCAGTGACCTCACACGTGCAAGTTCCCCAACACCCCTGGAACTGCAAGAGTAACCTCTAATGTGCAAGTTTCCCCCCATCACTGCAACAGTGGCCTTTAGCATGCAACTCCCCTACCCTCCCTCAAGCACCGTGGAATTTAGCTATGCCCCTTGGGGTGAAAACCCTTCTCGAGAAAATTGCTCGGGGATCTTTACCGAACAGGCGTGGGCAGGATACCAGTTTTACGCCCCATCTAAAACACAGCGCCTCATAACGCCATGCTACTAGGAGTTTGGTAACAACTCAGGAAGAGCACCTCCCCATGAAGAACCTACACCACTTTCTGGAAGACGTCCCATTCAAGCACTGGTCCAGCCTCACCCTACTTAGAGGGGTTGCTCCTAGGGCAAGTTATTGCGCAGCAAGTTGGGGCGTGAATCTATGCACATCAAATAACACAGCAGTGTCCAGGAAGACAAGTGGAGGCAGAATGTGGGACCCCAGCTGTGAGCTGCTAGCAAAGCAGTCATTAAGGGGTGTTGGGATCCTAGATTTGCTCTTCTCCTCTAGCTTATGCAAGCGGAGACGCTTTGATGCATTGTCCATTATTATTACAACGTGTGAATGTCTTTAGTTCTCTTCCTCTTCTCCATGTTTTAGGCCACAAAGGAGTGAACATTTAAAACTTATACCAACATAGCAATATCGGTCAGGGGTGTGAAAAAACCACACCCCCTAGTGATGTAGCTATGCTGACAGAAACCCCAGTGTAGATGCAGGTATGCTGCCAGAAAGTGCTTTGGTCAGCATAAAGAAAAGGCGTACTTGTGGCACCTTAGAGACTAACACTACAAGTCCTCCTTTTCTTTTCGTGAATACAGACTAACACGGCTGCTACTCTGAAAATTGGTCAGCATAGACAATGTCGTTCAGGGAGGTGGTATTCCTACACTATGCCAGCAGAAAAACTTCTGATGGCATCTGTTGTGTCTACACTATGGGGCTATGCTGGTATAGGCTCTGTAATGTAGACATAGCCTCAGGTTTTATACCCAAAGCACAATTAAACCTCTGGAACTCATTGCTACAAGACATAACAATTCAAGTCAAGAGCTTAGCAGAATGAGACATTTATGTGAATAATGAAAACATCCAGGGTTACATTAGAGAGGAGACAAAAATAGAAGGGATAGAAACTGTTCTGTTTTAGGGCATGCATCAGCTTCTAACTGATAGGGATAGGAGGAGACTTCACCTGGGGACAGGTAATTTCATAAAAGTCCACTGCAGAGTTTCTTGCACCTTCCTATGAAACAGCCTTTGTTAGCCACTGTCACAGACAGGTTACTGGGCTAGGCTGACCACTGGCCTGAACTTGTGCAGCAATTCTATGTTATTGTTTTTCCGTGATAGGGAAGCTGAGCTCCCTGCAGTTGACAGTGTTTGTAAATAGCTCTATATTTGGATGAGCCCCTAACAGACATGACCCCGAATGATCTTCAGGGATGATCCCACTACACTTTTTCTAAGAATCACGGTTTGCCCTAGTGCCCTTGGCCAAAAATATTCCCTTTCTCTTCTTGTTGTCTCCCTCTCAACATCTCCAATGGTGCCCTAGTCCCTGTACTTTGAGGACTGGATGATATGTGGCCCTGTAAGTGTACAATAGTGTTCTTATTCACTTCCCCTCCTATAAAATATAGTGTTGGTTGAGTATGGCTGTGGCATCCCACCCCAGAGGTGGCTGCATTTCAGCAGAAAGGGGAGCAGTCCCTTCATATGCCCAATCCACGACATGCTTTGGCATGAGGAATGTGATAGGACTCTAAAACATTATTTACAGCAACACAGTCAAAATAATAATCCCCTATTTGTTTCAATTCCTTCCCTGCATTGCTGACAGCACCTGAGGCTATTGAAATGGACAGAAACTTTAACACCTCATTGATTTGGCTGCACTGATGCTGTCTGGTCACTATGTATGCTTCTCCTCGCTAGTTTCATTTCCTGGTTCTTCTGTATTAACATGAGGCAAGCAGCTGCGTCTAGATAAACCTTCTCCATTAGTATTATTATTTCTTTGTATTACCATAGGACCCAGGAGCCCGAGTCATGGACCAGAACACCATTGTGCTAGGCACTGTACAAACACAGAACAAAATGATGGTCCCTGCCCCAACGAGCTGACCATCTATGTATCAGACAAGAGACAGAAGATGGATACAGACAGATAGATGCGGGAGTACAAGGAAATCATGAGACAGTATTGGTCCACATGATGGACAGTGGTATCCGTGTACTCACCCACTGATGCTGCTGTTATTTGTTTGGGTCTCTGATGAGGTTTATCTAGAATCAGCCATTTGCATTTAAATTCTTTTGTGACTCCTGTCAGGAGGCTTACAAGCCCCACACCGACCTGGAAAGGGTTAACGGCCTACTGGGAGCTCACTCAGCTCTCCCCCACCCCCCCTCCCCACCCCCGCTGTTCCTATAGTGGATATCAGGCCTGAAGGAAGGGGCTAAAAAGAGCGCTGGCTCAGTTAGGGGCTGCCTGGGTAGGAAATCAGACCAACAGCTCTCACTTGGGGAAAGAAAAGTAGTTGGAGTGAGGCACTGAATGAGACTACTGCTTGTCAGAGCTTCCCTGCAGGGAAGGGAGATCCTGACGCGGGACTATTTGGATATACCTGGGACACACTGATGCTTCTTAAGCCAGGTCATGGCAGGGGGTGCCTCACTTGAAGCGACGTGGGTTGTGGGATGAACAAATAACACTGTAGGAGCTCAGAACTAGACCCAGCTGGGACAAAGACACCTTTATCTGGTGTTTGTTCTGGACTGTAACTTTGGATTCTGCTACCCCAGAAGGGGGAATGGACTTTCGTGGTGACCTGGCCAGAGGGCTGAGCTATGTAAGCCACCAGAGCCGGCTGGAAATTCTGTTGGGGAAACTGAGGCTGGGTGGATGCAGTGCCATGCTGTGCCATGAGGAGGTGCACAGGTAATGGTGCACAGGTAATGACCGTCTCCCACCATTTACCAAACCTGAAAAGTTGGCCCATGGCCGTCGTTGCTCTTAAACTGTGATCTGCCCATGTGCACCTAGCTAAGCTCACTGTATGTAGAACTTGTGGGTCCAGCCTCACCGACTGGAACCTGTGCCTGTGCTTCTTACCCTGGGGTGCTTCCCCTGTCCTGGTGCACCGTGAATGAATGTACTGTCAGCAGTGTGCATGCAAACTCAATGGGCACAGCCACTGCCCTGCTGTTTCAATAACAACAACCTTCTAGCCCCTTCCATCCAAGGATCCCAAAATGCTTTACAGACACTAATGAATTCAGTCTCATAACCCCCTCACCCTCCCAGGAACTGGGTCAGTACCAGTGTCACCCCAGAGAGAGTGGAAACTGAGGCACATAATAGGGAGGGAACTGAATCAGGGTCACACAATGAATCATTTGCAGTGCTGGCAACAGAATCTAGAAATCCAGTGCTTTAACCACAACCCCTTTCCCCCAAGCTGGGGCTAGAACGTGAGTCCCAACCTGGTCTCCAAAACGCTGATCCTTCCTCCTAAAACTTGCCAAAATGTGACCCTGCAAACCAAGTTCTGCTCCTGCTGCCGCCAATGGGAGTTTTGCCTCTGAGTGGCGTGGGACCTGGATTTGGCTCAGAACATAGATTTCTTCACTCTGCTGCAGTGAGATTCCCACCCTAGCAGTGTGCCTTTAATGAGCGGAACACAGAGCGCTGCGCGTAGAACATCAAAGAGAAATGCAGCCTGGATGCATGCAGTGAGGGGAATGGTGGCTGGATAAAACCCTTCACGTTTCCATCGAGAACCTGTGTTTCTCTTGCTCCTGGAGTACAAAGAACGCCAGTTACGCCACGGGTGCGCAGGGAGGGGCCGGCTGGGTTCTAGAGCCTGGGGATGGGTC